CCTTCTCTGGGACAACAAGACCCCTACATCCTGTCGAAGAAGTGCAGAGGGTCGTCTTGTCAATGCCCAAGGGCTGCAGCTCTGCTACGACTGGCAGCGCCCAAACGGATGCGCAAGCACCAGCAAAGACCACATCCACGAGTGCTCGGGATGCGGAAACATGGATCACGGCGCTCAGAAGTGCCCTCGAGGCCAGGAAGTGTAAAGCCCTCACTCCTTACCACGCTAACACCTGGCTCCAATTACTTAATAAATCTGGTCTCATACTTACATATCATCACATACCTCATTCCTTACAGCACGGTTTCACTGGTAGTATCCCCATTATCACCCATACGTACACTCCTCCTAATAGTCCTTCCGTCGATGAACACGCCGATGCCTTTGCTACCATCCTCAACCGAGAATATAGCTTGGGAAGATACCTTGGCCCACTATCAAAAGCGGAAGTGGAGGCTCTCATCGGACCGTTTCAAACGGCTCCTCTGTCCATCATCCCAAAACCAGGGAAACCGGGAAAGTTTCGCCTCATCCAAAATCTGTCTCATAGCTCGTCGTACCTTACTCGTCCCATTGCCTCCATCAACTCCTTCATCGACTCTAATATATATCCTTGTACCTACGGCACATTTTCCACCATATGCCTGCTTATATGGCGCCTACCTCCCGGCTCCCAAGGCGCTACCCGAGACGTGGCAGAGGCATATAGAACCATCCCGCTCCACCCATCCCAGTACCCAGGTCTCGTGGTCCGTACAAGCGAAAGCAGCTTCGCCATTGATACCAGTTTTCTGCTTCGGCTGCTCGTCAGCAGCTGGTTCCTATGGAGGTCTCGCCGACGCAGGAGCTGACATTTTTCGTAGCGAAGGAATCGGTCCGTTGTTGAAATGGGTGGATGACCACCTGTTTTTCCGCGTCCTTCGGCAGTACCTGGAAAAGTACAATGAGCAACGGAGGGGCTGGGCCCAAGGTATCCGAGACCAAGGAGGTCTGCAAATGGATGGAGGACGAAGGTGGTACTGAGGGCTCACACTGCCAAACGACCAGCCGGAAGAATACGACGAGGACTGTTCCTTCCCCCTCCTCGATCTTTCCCAAAGATCCCCGCGCTCTGCCAGAGACGCCAAATTCGCGTACTGCATGGCCGACATCGACTGCCTCTCAAATCAGACTGGTACTCCCTGGGAAGTCTCCAAGGACACCCAATTCTGCTCTAACCCGCCGTTCACTGGCTTCACCTGGGATCTCGACAAGCGTTCAATCGAGATCCCGGGAAGCAAAAAGGAAAAATACCTGGCGGCCATCTTGGCATGGGAGGCCCAACCTCGTCACACCCCTCCTCGAAATCCCAGAAACTCCACGGCAAACTACTCCACGCTACCCTCGTCGTTCCTGCCGGAAGAGCCTACATCACCGAACTGGAGACCATGCTCTCCAGTCTGCGGTGACCGTCCTTTCGTGCCACACACCGCACCAAAGAACTGCGCAGCAGACCTCAGATGGTGGTCAGCCACCCTCCGTCAACCTCTCGTCAGCAGAACGATCCCTGGCCCATGCACTGTCACCAATCCAAACGCCTTCTCGGATGCTAGCTCAGGCATGGGAATCGCGATTTGGATCGACGGTTGGTGGCACGCATGGCGCCTCATCCCAGGCTGGAAAGCCGACAGTCAGCGACATCGGATGGGCCGAGGCCATCGGTTTCGAATTCCTCATCCTCAGCATCATCCAGAGATCCCAACCCAACCCACTCCCTTGCTTTAAGGTATACGGAGACAACAGAGGTGTTGTGGAGGGTTGGTGGAAGGGCCGCAGCCGAAACCGTCCCACCAACACAGTCTTCAAGCGCGTTCACCACGCCACTGAATCCGCTCCCTGCATCGTCCTCTCGTGCTATGTCCCTAGCGCTCTTAACCCCACAGACGACCTGTCGCGTGGAAAATTCCCTCATCGCTCCCTTCTTCTGCCCCCCATTCCTATCCCTCCCTCCATCAGGGACTTCGTCGTCGATTTCGACGCCCCTCTACACGCAAACGAGTCCAAAGGCCTCCTCCACAGCGTCGCAACTCCCACAGCCCCAAAGACCCGCTCCGCACTCAAAGATGCTGAGCGCGCTGCTGAGAACCGAGTCCTCGAGCGACAAGGAGAGGAGCTCTTCCAAGCGACGGAAGTATACCTATCCTCCTGATCTCAACCCTATGCCCTCTGCCTTACGCCCGCATTGCCCTGCAAAGCAAAGGCTACGTCTCTGGCTCCCACTCGTATCCCGCACTAAACCGAACTTCCTCTCAACAGAAGACATGACACGCATCCAAGACGTCATGTGTCACGCCTGGGCCGAGAGCACCCACGAGTCATACGGCTCAGGACTACTGGTATTCCACGTGTACTGCGACTCCCGCTCAATCCCAGAGCTAGACCGAGCTCCCGCATCTTCCGTTCTCATTTCCGCCTTCATCACCTTCGCAGCCGGCTCATACTCAGGCAAAACCATCACAAACTATGTCTTCGGCGTACGAGCGTGGCACATTCTCCACGGCCTCAAATGGTCCCTCGACGACGTACAAATCGACAATCTCTTGAAAGCTTCAGAGAACATGACCCCGAACTCCTCAAAACGCAAGAAACGCCGTCCATACACCGTCGACTTCATCTGTTCTCGAAGAGAACAGATGAACTTAGATATACCTCTCAACGCCTCCGTCTTCGGCTGCCTCACCACTTCGTTTTACTGCGCAGCTCGGGTGGGAGAATTCACCATCCCAACTCTTTCGTCATTCAACCCCAAGGTCCACGTCAAGCCATCAGACATGCGTGTCGAGCGTGACCGCAATAACCTTGAGATGCGAGTCTTTTTCATCCCACAGACCAAGACTTCCAGAGTAGGGGAGGACGTCTCCTTCGCGCAACAAAACGGTCCTTCAGACCCTGAACAAGCCCTGCTACAACACCTCAGAATCAACGAGCCTCCTCCTGGATGCGCTCTTTTCTCCTACCAGTTCAAGAATGGGCACCGCCCTTTAACAAACAGAAGTTCATTACCCGTCTCGCTCAGGCAGCCAGAGCCGCTGGTCTAGACCCGCTGCAAGGACACGGCATCCGCATAGGATCCACGCTCAAATATCTGCTCCACAACGTCCCATTCGACGTCGTCAAAACGAAAGGACGTTGGGCCAGCGATGCTTTTCAACTCTACCTACGAAAGCACGCCCAAATCATGGCACCATACATGCAAGCAGTTCCCTCCTTGCACGAAGACATCCTCCGTGTATCAATGCCCAGAACACACTGATAGCTTCCTTACCTCGTGAGTAGTCCCCCTCCCTCCTTCTATGCTGGGTCTCTTCGGCGTCGCTGCGATGCGTCGTCGGGGTCTCCTATTACTTCGGGGGATTCGCAGCTCACCTTTTCTTGGGCAGATCACCTATCGGGGCCGGACAGCGCTTCGCGCTCTCACCCACTCTCTTAGTCTTCGTAGTACCACGCTCCCTGTAGTTCTCATCTCAATATATTTGCTTATTCAAATTATACTAACCTAAACAGGCGCTACAGCGTCAACCAAAGACTGAGTGAATATTAGTTTATTCCCTCCACTCTTTTGTCACTGTTTCCTACGACGTTCTGACTACCTGAGGCCACCTCTAAGTCACATTAAATTACTCTAGCTAGTGCACGGTTACTAGTCGTCTAGTGTAGTTTCACTGCAATTCTCTTTACAACACAGGAAATCAATTCTGTGGGGAGAAATCCACGTACTTTAACGATTGAGGACGATAAATAGGACTTATACTTTAGTCAACAATATTAAGAGCTTGGCCACTTAAGACTACATCAAGAAGGTGTATTCTAGTCTGGACTACGTCATTACTCATTGTGAGATCCTGAACAGCAGAAAGGTTGGTTCTGAAGCCACGTATTTGATTGATTCAACTATATCCAACTCCTAGTTTGATCTCCCCTGATTGTGAGAATAAGGAGTATCCCAGAGATATCACTCTGACTCACCACGTATCACTGTAATTCACGTAACTTTCCGTAATCTGTGTACTGTCGCATCATTATCCCTGAAGAACCCTAAGTACTGCATCAAGCCAGTTAACAGGCATTGTTCCTGAGATTTCTGAATATCTCACTCCTTTTAGTCATTGGTAAATTTGCTCAAGGAGAATGCAATCTATATTTGCACCCCCACGAACGACCATGTTATCAACCGTTGGTATTTGTCTGAACCGTTGACCGTGGAGGATAAGTGAAATTTGGTGTTTTTATTGCCTTTCACATCCTAGTAAGACAATGAGTCGAAGAACATCATACGTCAGCAGTAGAATCACATAGAATTAGTAGTCATTTGGCAACGCAAAATGAAATAGAAAGACACTGTGGGAAGTAAAAACACTGAAGGTCAGTGTAAAGAATCCTGAAAGTCAATGTTCAAAATACTGACTTTCAGGGTTTTGTGCATTATGACCGCAGTCATAGTCAGAACAAGAAGTTAAGCTATGCCAGAATTCAGTGTCTAGAGCCCTGAAAAGACATTTTTCAGTGTCAAAAACACTGACATTAATGGTATTGTTTCGCAAATAAATTCACAAATCAAAAAAAAAATACAATTAAGTGGGGTTGAACTCACAACCTGCAAAGCACAGCAAACACCACAGAGAATTCCGGCTGACACACGACCCGTTAAGCCATAAGGCCTTTAGAAATTATGGTAAGATGTAGTATATATGTAACTCGTGTGGACTTAGAAAAAAAAAAGACGAAGGCAATACCTTATAGAATAATTTCATCAAGTAATTCAGTGTTTAAGTACTGACAACACTGGCTGAGTGAACACTGAAAAATCAGTCAGTGTTTAAGCACTGACGGACGTGAACACTGAAAATAACAGGTTTTTTTTCCAGTGTCTACAACACTGGGATTTGTCATTCAGTGTTTCTCACACTTACTTTCAGGGTATTTACTTCCCACAGTGAAGACTAGTTCGATGGACACAAATCATGCCTGGAATAAGTGAGTTGGGAGTTGGCGCCGTTAAGTTGCTAATAGCTATTAGTGGGAATCAAAGTAGTTTTCTAAACTCGCTAAAGCGCTTGGTAAAGAACCGGCTAAGCGTTCTAGCACAGCCAACAATGATGGAGTCGGCCGGCATCTAGTATTGGAGCTCGAATACCAATGCCTGCTGTCCACCAATGTGTCCACCATTCTGCAAGGCTTCAAGCAAATGCTCAAAGTCGCCCAAAGGCGATGGAGTTACCCCCCCATCCATCTGCATCCTGTGGAAGAGGGAAATCTCAAGGACGTGGGACCAATCCCACTCATATTCAAGCCCCTAGATCTGCCGGACCTAAGATTATCATCCATTGGACCAGAGCCTCAGATATCCATCGCACTGATACACTGGTGCATCACCTGGTTACACATCCACCCGATGCCCATGTACTATTTTATGAAAGTAAAAAATCAGCGACTTCTAGTAACGAGGAGCGCGCTTCTGGAAAGGACAAGGGGGAGATTCATTGAGTCTTAGTGAAACTCATCTTCAAGAATGACTCAGAGTATTCAACTGCATATGCTGAGGACTCGAAGAAATTCGATGTAGTGGTGGGCAACCGAATTGCTTCATAAGTGCTTCTGTTGTCCACCTTTGTAGCTACTAATTTTATTTTTAAAAGCCTTAAAAAATCGTTCAAGGAGCAACTCAACAAGTTCAATAAGACCGGTGCGGGTGTCACTCCACTTGATGAAAACGCGGCTGTTAATCTACATCGTAGGTTTTTTTTTGCCGTTGTTTTTATTTTATTTCATTTATTTGACTTTTAGAGCAAGTTCTGCTTGAATTCCGTGGTACGATCAACTCCATCCTTTCCTCTTCTCTAATCCCACCTTCGGCGCCAAAATATATACCTCTCAACCAGGAGTTGATCACGCCGGTGATTTCTACGCACTCATTGGTCCACGTGGGGGGGCTGGTCCTTCCCCTCGCCAAGATACTGCTGACCCTCGGCTCCTTCCCCCAAACCATCAGCACCTTCCTCCAAACCGTCAGCTCCTTGACCCAAACCTTCAGCTCCTCGACCCAAACCTTCAGCTCCTCGACCCAAACCGTCAGCTCCCTGGCCCAAACCATCAGCTCCTTGGCCCAAACCATCAGCCCCTTCCCTTGGACTCTCAACCCCCCCCCCTAAGTCCCCATACTGCTAATAATCAGCCCATCACTACAAGCACTCGGCCCATTCCCCCAAGCACTCTGACCCCCCCTCCCCACCAACCCCCTCCCCCACATTATGCCGGCGCTGAGGAGGATGATATCGACGATCCAGATGGCGACCTTTATGACGACCCTCATGCTGCTGACGATGACCATGGCCCTTTCTTTGCTCCCCTCGGCAACGCACTGGATACGCTGGAAGGAGACTTCAACATGGACAATGACGACGATGGTGGGATGGAGTTCAACTCCTCCCAGCCTCATGACTTCAATCTTGATAGTCCCCTCAAAGTGGTGGGACACAAGCGCCAGTACACTGCTTCGCCGTCTCCCCCTCCCATCGAAACAAATTCATTTGCTCTCTGGCAGAAACCGCAGACACCTACATACCACGGTCAGTGCAGCATTTGGCTCTGCCTCACCTGGCAGCCAAGCACCATGCAAACCTTCCTCATTCGCCTCATCATCGGGGATATCACGCAGTCGCTCCACTCCCTTGTCTACGGCAGTCCTCATCACCATACATGTCATCTGACTATCGCATTTCGCCAATGGTATCACAGACGTCACTCTCTGCAAGGCCACAGAGCTCTGTGAGCTCAAAGAAGAAGAGGGCCTCAGTGGTAGATGTAGAAGAGCGCAGTCAGCGCACTGAATGATGAGATCCAGGGCATGCAAAGTGATATATCCGAGCACCAAGAATCGAAGAACGAGCAGCTGCGCCATCAAGATGCAGTACCAGTCACACAAGAGAGAGTTCCAGTGGCGCCGCTGAGTCTCGCTCGCAGGACATCCTCATCTCGGCCACCTCACACCAACGCTGAGCAGGAGGCGAAGGATAAGGAGATCCTTTGCCTCCAAGCTGTAGCTACGCTTCAGGAGAGGGAGGCTGAGACCTGGCATCTCAAGATCCAGTATGAGACCATGATGTGTGCTGCTGGTGGGAGTGTTGGTGGTCCCTCGCCCTCGTCATCATCAGGCTGATTGTATCTCATCAGTCATCGTCATCGTCATGTTTTGTTGTCCTTGTTGTCAAGTCAATTTTCACATCTCGTAGTTACTTTGCCACTTGATTTTGATACATACATTTTACATACATTTCTTGAATCTCTTGTAGTAGTACATGTACTTTCTGATTGCCAATGTGATTCTGGTTCTTGTAAGCTACCCTTCCCTGTGTTCAGCACTTGAGTAAGGACTGTCGAAGAGTTGATCCATCATCCTCAAACGAGAAGCTTGCCCTGGAGTACCCTCATATGATCTGTCACCCACAACTTCATTCCCATCAGGATCTTCAATCTCTCGAGCTGCAAATTCTCTGGCCTCCCGTTCAGCCCACCTCTGAGAACGAGGGAATTTGGGGTTCTGCTTGCGATGCTGAGCTTCAAACCTGATGATCATGTTGTGCAAGATGATGCAACACATAATCCAATGGACAGCAATCTGAAGCTCTCTTTCTGTATGAATATTGAGGCGAAGCTCTCGGAGGGACTGAAACCGCCCCTTAAGAGCAGCAAATGCATGCTCAACACGCACACGAACCTAAATAAAAAATAAAAAATAGTAACTAAATTATCAGAAAAATCAAGAAAAAAATGAGCACACCGTGGAAAGATGATAATTAAATGTCTTCTGGTCCTTGGTCAACCTTCCCTTGCAGGGCTTCTTGAAAGGGACTATGCACCACTTCTCAAGTGGGTATGCACTGTCAGCCCAAACCCAATGGTCATCTGGCAGAAGGGTTCCATGCTGTTGATAGAGACGAGTTGATCGGAAAGAATAGGCATCATGGACACTCCTGGGATGACCAAGAGCATAATCGACAATGACAAGGTTGTGAGGCATAACAACTGCCTGAAAAATATTTAATTATTAATTTAATTATTGATCATGAATGGAGGGGGAAAAAATACCTGGCAGCCAAGAGAATAGTTAGATTTCCTATCATAGAATGTCTCACCAAAATGAGCAGGTTTGGCATAGAGGTTAACTGTTGTGCCATCAATAGCTAGAATGCCATTGCGCCACTCAGGACAAGTCTTGGACTCTGCAAATTGCCGAGCAAGCTCAGCATCTTCTGAATCGGGACATGGGAAACCAACAAATTTGTCATGCTGGTCAAGCAGTGCAATCATTACACGATTAGTGCAATTCACAACTGACCCAACACTTATACCTGCCCATTGGGCAACATCCTCAAGAGAAATCGCATTGCCATAGTGGCTGGCACGATTGAGGAAAATAGCAAGCTGAATGGAAATGGGAAGTTGGGGATTATTGGATCAGTTGAAAAAGATATGATGATCAGAGATTTGATCGAGGATGTCGTCAAAAATGATAGGGTCAACACATAGCTTTTGCCGAAATAAGTAAGGGCGGTGTTTCTCGTGATGGACAAGCATGTGGAGCTGGGGAGCTCATGGGGGAGGCTCATCTGGCTTGTTAAGGACACGAGCCCTTGCAACCTCATCACGAAGAGCTGCAATTTGGTGCTGGAGCTGATCGTAACGTGCAGTGATCTCATCAGAATCCGTAGATCCATCAGAAAATTCACCGGAGGAGCTGGAGGAAAGGGTCGGTGAAGAGGTGATGTCCATGCTTGAATCAGAGTTGGAATTGGAGTTGGAGTTGGAGTTGGAATTGGAGCAAGAATCAGAGCTTGATTCCTGAGTTTCCAATACATGCTGATATTGGAGTTGGGCTAATGACAATGCAGTTTTATCAACTGCATGAAGGAGATCTTTACAGCTGGATGGGAGAGGCATGATGTGGCTCGAGATTGAGATATGTGTTCCCTTATCATCCCCCTAACTGATCAGTGCGATCGATAAGCGGAGTTTAAATCGGAGTTTTAAATTCTGCCACTGGTCAGCGTGCTAAGTCTCACTCATCACAGATGACAGTGACCAAGCTACCATCCCAGCTGTGCTGCTCTCCCTGGATGCTACCACTGGCAACTGGTTCCAATGCGCCTTCATCTATCACCTCCGTGAAAATCAACATTCCTAACAACAACGCCAATAATACCACGAACGTCATCAACTTTCACTCCCCTAACAACAACACCAATACCACTACAAATTCCATTACTCACAGCAACGTGCAGCGCCAAAATTTTCACCTCCCAGCTGGGAGTCAGCCACGCTGTAGATTTCTACGCGCTTATTCATCCATGTGGGAGGCTGGTTCCTCCACCCATCAAACTGCTGCTGGCACCCAGCTCCCTCCCCCAAGCCCATACACTACTGGTGCTTGGCCCATTCCCCCATTCCCTCACCTCCTTCAACCAAACCCTTGTCTCCTTCAACCGACCCCTCAGCTCCCTCCCCCAAACCCTTAGCCCCCTCTCCAAGACTCTCAGCTCCCTCCGCCGAACCAACTCAACACAACCAACCGCTCACCTGAGTCACCTCCTTCAACCAACCCCTCACTTCCCTCCCCCAAACCCTCAGCTCCTTCCCCAAACCCTCAGCTCCCTCTCCAAGACTCTCGGCTTCCTCCACCGAACCAACTTGACATTGGCGCTCAGCATACTCCCCCAGCTTACCTTTCCCCTTCACATCACCCCCCAAGCACATGTGCCACTATTAATGAGTCCCCCCTCCCCACAGCACATGTTTTTTTGTTCACTTGTGTGCTTGTCTGATGGGTCTGGTTCCTGCTACTTATTCATTGTTCCCCTCCTCGCATAGTACATATAGCCTGCTGGAATTCTGTTGTTTGGGCAGGTGGAGACTGACAAACTAGTTACTATATTCCTACATCCCTTATCATGCGCGCTACTCACATTATCACTCACAAATGCACAAGTATGGTTTCCAAGTCCAATCTGTGCCAGCCGTCTATGGCCGAGTTTGTTCTCAAAGTTTACTGATAGTTTACCGAGTTTTACCGAGTCTTAGTGATGTTTTAGCGAGTTTAGAAATCAACTCTGAGTCCCATTATTAATTCTCGTGGGGTCAAAAAGTGGGATCGTACAACCACAGTTATGGGCCAATATCGACCTTGTGGTACAAGGCAATGACAGGATAAATATGCGTACTATTATGTAGTGTGTCATTCAAGGCAGCAGTTCAGGTCAAGCTTGAGCATCCTAATATCCTAGCCTATCCTGTGCTTTTCAATTTTGATCCTTGGTCTCTGGTGAATAACTGACCCAATATATATATCACAATTGATACCTTTCTACATAAGTGTGAGTCTGTAGTCAGGAATAGCCAGGACCTCTAGACATCACACACACCGGGTCCATTACGAAAATAAGACGTGTAAAACTGTAAGTAATGACCGTGAATAAGAAAGAATTGCGCAGCTACTGTAGGCTACTGCCCAGATCTCGGGTATAAATATTACGACTGACATAGTCAGCGTAAAACAATATAGTGCATCTATTGGAAAACACTAAAAGGACCTGGGTGGATCAGCTGGTGGCTTGCATGTAATCAGGAGGGGGCAGGGTATCCCCAATGGTTACTGAAGCACTTTGCATTGATGCGCGACGCTGCACTGTGGTGACTTTCGAGATGCCCATTGAATCATCGGGCACCGGCAGCTGGAATATATTTTGCCGAGTACCTGGAGCTTCAGGTAGAGGGCGGTGTGAAGTCCCTGGCTATAAGAAGATGAGTAAACTTGTTCATCAATGCGGAGACAAAAAAAATCTGGTTCCTACCTCATCAAACGGAGATTGTATTGCCGAGCTTTCTACTACTTCGTCTACAGTGGGCATGCCAGAGCTAGGGGCATGTAGTCCATTTGCAGTACGAGACGATCGCCGAGAATCGTAGTCTGCCTGTTGATAAGATTGCGATGAAGTGCTTTGGGAAGTGCCTTGGGACAAGGTGTGTTGTCTGATAAGGCTAGCATCACTTGTCTCCACCGAGGAAGAAACGCCCATATAGGTGTTTTTGGGGGAATGTTCAGGCGTATCAATCCGGTACAAGTCCCGCGACGCTGCCTGTGCCGATCTCCATCGCCGATAAAAGAAGAACGCAGCTGCCAATGCACAGAGAGCCACACCGACAGCCACAGCGATACCGGCAATAGCCCCAGAACTCAAACCGCTGCCTAACGTATAAGTTATTGAGGTCTTTAAAAGTAATTTGTCTTACTTTGAAGCTGAAACTGCATCGACGCTGCATACATGTAGTGGTTAACAAATTTGTGCCGGAAAAGTTGATCGACGTACGCACCTTGAAGGTGGAGTTTCTGGCGAAGTGGAGGAATTGGAGCTTCCATTAAATTAGTATCATGGCGTGTGGGAATGTGTGAAGTACCCACCTTGATGTGAGCAGTGCGTAGTCTATGTTGAGTGTTTGTCCGATTGTTTCAGGAAGGTTAGCGAGGGTCAGCTGATGCTGACCAGCGCCGAGATTATCTGCATGATAAAGCATGACTTCATAGAAAGTCAAATATGCGGTGGCATTGTACTGGGTGGCTTGTTGAGAGTCGAGAGAAACACTATACAGACCGCTTCCAGGGCCTACAGTGCCGAATATGCTCACAGATTCGGCTTGATAAGAGGTTGCATGTTAGCTCGAAATTATAAATGTGTTCATTGCTACGTGACATGCCCTTGAATTATCCATCAGCACAACTATGTATAACTTTTGGCTCTCAGCACTCACTGTGAATGTTAAGGTCACACTGGCCTCATTAACACTTGTGGAGCTAAATGACATTATTTAAAACCTCGGTGACAATGCGAGAGAAATACTCACTGCCCAGTCCCGTTATTAAACAGGTTTACATTAGTAGGGTTCGTATTCCACGCTGGCTCCTGGTACTGAAATCTGGGGTCTGCGTCATCGACCGACTCCGTTACTAGCTGGGTCCCGCTAAATTCGGTCTGCCAGGTCACCTGTTGACGAGCGACAACAATGAGCCGTTGAACTGGTCAAAGGTTAGATACACTCCACCATGTCGATATCAACGTAGGGGGTCGCAGTACCAGTGGCAGTATTTGTAAGCGATACCGTATGTAACCCTTGTGTCAAGCCACTTTGGTTGAAGAGCACTTGTTGAAACAGAGCGTTATTGGATTCGCCATTGTTGGCCGCATAATTTGCACCGTCAACCGTCACGGTGTATGTACCATGATTGCTTCTTTTAGCACCGTATATCCAGAAGGCCGTGCCGTTGAAAGAGAATGTGGCGACACTCCCTGTTACGTTCGACGTCTGGAACGTCCCGCGGAAGTATCTGAGAAAAGTTGTTATTCATCGATTGCAAGGCAAATGACATAAAACACAGACTGGTCTGCTAAATTGTCATCCCCAGAGTTCCCCGGAGCCCAGGTAGAATCATAGTGTATCAAAGGAGATTTATCATCGGCGAGAAATGTAAACGACGACATCTTAGGATAGCGCAAGGGAAGAAATGATGTTAAAGCTCATTCCAGTGGTCCTCTTGTGCAATTCTTTTTTGGACGACAAAAACATATAACTGGCTGTGATTAATTGATCATTTGATCCTCGGCAATACATACAACCGAACATCTGTACAGGTTATTATGTCCTGTGTGAGGAGAACATTTACTTTTTTGAAGGTGCGCCGGCAGGGAGTGGCAGGGCCGTGCGCAAGATGAATCTCATTTGTCGGCTTCTGTCAGCATATATAGGTCAGGCCGCCATGCGCAAAGTTATCTTGATAATCAGCGCTCTGGTTGCTATAGCAGGTAACAGTAACTCATCAAATTCAGATCAGAGCCTTCAGCCTTCAGGACAGTACGCGCGCGAGTGAAGTTGTGGTGCCTGTACCGCTGGGTCGCTCTATCTTGGCTATGGAACTCCAAAAACGCTAGAAAGTACATCTAAAATGCAGGCATCTTGGCTTGCAAAGGAGTGTGGGGAGAGAGAGAGAGAGATGTGCCATCACTCTGGGAAGCACTACTGTTGCTGCGGCCGGATGATTGTCCGAAATAACGTCATCTTTCCTGGAGTGAACTCAAAACTGCTGTTCCGACAGTTCTGTTACATAAAAAATTCCAAGTACTTACGCGTACGTGTGGCATATAGTCGGATACAAATATTGTGCGAAATGATCGGGTGCACTAGTGATGGGCCCATTATACATCGTACTTGACGAGAAAAACTCTTATAACTACAAGCCCAAGCTCCGAGACCAAAAAGAAACGAAGAGACTAGTAGTACTTAAGTGCAATTGACAACATGGGTTCCTATAAATTAATTACAGACACCATGCACATTGTTCACCGATCGGGTTGAAGCTTAGCGCTTAGCGCTTCAGTGTCGTGTGTTCACACAGGTCGATCGATTGATATAATATGAATATCTGAACCACCACAAATATTATTGCGAAAGCTTTCAAGCGAAAATAGCAAGAGCTGGGAATGTCATTTCATGCGAGAGTAAGGTGTACATACATCAAAAACATATACCATAGCAATGCATGCAACTGTAGTCAGAGGCTCGGGATGTGATCTATGAGACCTGTGTGTTCACACAAACTACTATCAGGAGGGAGGAGCTCCGCGCGCCTCATGATATCCTGGGCATTTATCTCAGAATTGATGCAGGCAAAAGTACAAATTACTCACCAGCACCTCCCCTGTCTCCACGTCCACGTCCGCGTCCCCTGCCACGTCCACGATTTTCATCGGTTCGCCAGTCGCCATCAGACCGGCCACCCCGCTCGACCCGCTCACCACGTTCACCCCGCTCGCCACGTTCAAACCTTTCGCCACGTTCAAACCGCTCGCCACGTTCAGGCCGCTCGCTTCGTTCAACCCGCTCGCCACGTTCAGGCCGCTCGCTTCGTTCAACCCGCTCGCCACGTTCAGGCCGCTCGCCACGTTCAGGCCGCTCGCCACGTTCAGGCCGCTCGCCACGTTCAGGCCGCTCGCCACGTTCACCCCGCTCGCCTCGTTCACCACGGTAACCTACGAAAATGGAGTGAGTGGATATTGTGAACAAAATCATCAAGACAGACCACCGCGCTCGCCGCCTCGGTAACCACCTCGGAAGTTCCCTCGATCGCCGCCACGGAAATCACCCCGCCCGCGGTAGCCACCACGCCCACCACGTCCCTCACCGCGGTAACCTCTGCCACGTCCGCGACCTCGTGGATGTGTGAAGCCATCGTTTTCAGGCTCCGGGGCAGTGGCAGCGACAGCTTCGACGCCATTCACAGGTGCAGGTACAGGTTCAGCAACAGGAGTGGCTGATCCTGAAGGGGCAAAACTTGCTTGTAGGTTTGCGATCGATGGCAGACCACCTTCCTCGTCCGCCTCAGCCCAATCAATGGGTTGCGCAGGTATACCCTGCGAAATCAATGGTCATTATAATCCAAAGCGCACTATATCTTTGGGCGAACATCTAACTTACATCGACTTCCGCAGCTGAAGGTGTAGGTTCTTCATGCTCGAGAACACCATTCTGCGTCACTTCAACCTCAGATTTCTCAACCCACTCAGCAGTATCATCAAGGTCATTAGCGGACTCAAGCTCGCTCGCTTGCATGAAATGGAAGCTACCAGTGCCACTCAGACTACTGGCAGTGGGAATGCCAGCAATGGGTTGAGATTCAGTGTGCGAGTTACTTGAAGGCTCAGAAGCAACTTCCGTTACTGCATCGGGTTCTGCCGGTAAAGGTGTCGGTTCACGTGGGGGGTTGAGGAAGGACTGCACGATATCCAGTAGCCTTGCATCTATCAGACTGTCAGTTTAATCCTAGGTTGTTGAGTCCGAGGGATGTTCTTACACGAAACACCATTGAAGTCGCCTTGTCCAGAGAGCAGACCAGACAGTATTGCTTGCTTGGATTCTGACTCCTCGGTGAGGAGGGTCGAGCAAACGGAAAATATTGCTTCCCCTTCGGCTTCATCGAAATCAAGAACAACCGGAAGAGGCTGGCGATTTGAGAGACATGCATGCAAACGGATTAGAGATAGTATAGCAGAGGCTCTGCTAGCTGACGATGCCTGAAAGAACTCAGCTACAAAATCCGTCGATTACAATCAATTCCCTACCTCGGCAGCAGCAACAGAGTCGGCAATTCTGACAGCCTCTGCAGCTTCAGCATCTGCACGTTTTGCTGCTATTTCGCGCGCAAGATCAGCTTCGTGGGACTGGCGCACAAAAAGGTTTATTATTTTTGTCGATGGGTAAATGATGACATTATTCGAACCTCGATCAATTTTTTGACGTCTTTTAGTTCTTTCTGAACAGCCTCCAACGAAGGAAGGGTCTTCAGAGTTCGCCTTTGGTCATCGTCCAGTTTTTCGTGATCCGTTGTTGCATAACTCGTTATGCGAGCCTGGAACACGTACGTTAGCTACTTGGTGCCGAAGCCGGAATGCACAATAATAGTGTCACGTACTATCTTCTTGTTCAAAGCTTTTAAGCGCTTCTGGAGAAGCTCTACGACCGGGCTAGATTTGGTGGTCAAATCATCGAAGGTCGGAGCTTCAGAAGGTGCAACAAGTTCAGGAGCGACTGCGCCCTCCTTCACATCCGCCTCTTCTGGTGCTCTGTCAACCAGAGCAGCAGGAGTAGTATCTGGAACAATGACGGAGCCTTCGGCAGGCGAGTCCGCAGTTTTTGGCTTGTTTGATCGATGTTTTTTCTTTTGAGTTTTTGTCTGTGACGTAGGAGGGAGAGCACCGGGAACAACGCGGACATTTGGAGCATCGACCATATTGAAAAGTAGATAGTAGAAGATGAGCTATTGCAAGAGTAAGAGTAAGGGCAGACGATTGAATTGTGCTGAAAAAGACTAAGTCAAAAGCTCGAGCCTCACGACTGAAAATTCTAATTCCCACGGTTGAAGCCATAAGTACATATTCATCGATCTTTGCTCTTCGCCATCAAACACGCCAGATAAGCCACATCATCGCCATGAATGTGGCAGATTTCAGCACCAATAGGCACTCTTCCAATATGCACATGACTATGCACATGGCGAGCAAACATACGGATCTTTACTTCAACGACGGAAATATAATCTTGCTCGCTGGCATGTCCTATTTCTTGGTTCATCAAGGGCTTCTGGCACGGCATTCCGAGGTTCTGGATGAGCTTATGCGCTCCTTGGACAAAAATCTGACACACGAAGACCGCCCAGTCCTTACCTTACCAGACCCGTCTACAGATGTAACGCACTTCTTGAAAGCGATGTATGATGGAATGTTAGAACATACGTTTTTACTCTCCATTCTAGCTGACGTACAATAGATCATTCGTGACTTATGATTCAGAGGGATTTCCAACGCTCTCAGGCTCCTGCGCATGTTAACCAAGTACAAGGTGCACCATCTCCGGACTGATATCTTACGCGGACTTTCCAACTACTGGCCTACTACCCTTACTCAATGGGATACGCGTGAAGCCTCTGTGACTGGACAAGATGGTACCTATACACCACGCGATTCTCTGCCGCACCCTATGTTAGCCGAGTTAACTAATCGCCTACTTAACGTTGACCACTCTTTGAATCAGAGAAATCATTAACCTCGCTCGTGAAATCGATCACGTGCCACTTCTGCCATCCGCAATGTACGACCTAACCCGTTCCTCTCCAAGTGAGGCTGCGATTGGTTTCGTGTCACCGTTCACCGGCATAAACGTCAGATTAGAATACGCCGATCTTCTGACCGTTCTCAAGGGTCGCGAACAAGCTTCTCGATTTTTCTCAACGTTCATCGTCAACAACCTGGAAGGAAGACAGCCTTCTCGATGGTGTCTACGTCGCAAGGATGGCCACCCCGTCAACAAGAGGACCTGTCAGATTGCGTTCGAGGCCATCACGTTCGAACTTTTGCGAGATATCAACGGCATCATCAGTAATCGGACCTCGGACCCACTGTACGCGATGACCGAAGCAGAGCAAATGCAGATCCGCGACGACCTGTTGAGCAGCGAGGTTTCTCCCATGAAAACGTGCGAACACTGTCGGGTGGAATTTGGAGCGGTAGTTGATGCAGCAAAAGAAGACTTCTGGAAAAAGTTGCCCAAGTGGTTCGATATAGATGTTTCCCCCCTGGGGTTAATTCTTGTCTGGTCAATCCGTTTCTTATTCGTTTTGTACTTTGGGTTCAATGAAATGTCAAATATCGGTTTTGACTGGGCACGTGATCGACGCGTCAATAAAAATTTCCTGACGTAGACCAGAGCAAACCTCAAAACACTTAAGGTCGATCGCTGCTAATGCTTAAACAATGCAGTCCGACACATTGGAGTGGAGGTAGGCAGAGTCCAACTGCAATTACATGCCCAATCTATTCTCTAATAAACCTGCGGGAAATAATTTGGAGGACAATCATCAGGGATTCCTCAAACGTACTAATTTATTGCTTTCTTGTCGGGGAACTGAAACGCGTGGGTGAGTGGGAACATATGGCTGTGGTATCTATCTGTAACGTTCCTACCCGGTACTAGGATCAGCATCGCGCCGGTGCCAATGGAGGAATGTCTCGAGACTCAGTTGTACCAAATGTTTTTCGTTTGGTTATCTTATAACGTGAATATCTTGGTGTGCGTTTTGAGTCCTGTCTCGATCCTGGTGCTTTCCGCTGAATTACTTTGTATCACCTGCAGATTATATTCAGCACTGATACTGTGGGACCTGCATTTTTTGTGCTGGAAGTTTGTGACCCTATAGCTATCATTGCCGCTGTCGACATGGTGTAAGTGTTAATAATTCATTCCCAATTTGAAGTGAATAGTCGTCAGCTAGGTCTCGCTTGTTTCCAGTATTCTTGTAAGTTTACTATTCTTGTATGCGTTTTTGGGGACTTCGACAACGTGTTAGGCTATTTTCGGGCTAAAGCTTGGCATGCGAGCTATGTATGGTACAAGCAAGGTTCTCGTGGGGGTATGCTTGTAAGTTTGCGATTGTCAATGCCATTTGCTGATGAACGTTTGAACATCAAGGTATCTCGGTGCTATGATACCAGCTGTGTTGATTGTTTTCGCCTCGGAAGGCTTTCTTATCTTGAATAGCATCATTGGTGGACAAACGTTAGCAACCTTGTCCCCTCACCTTGATGATACCCTTGAGATTGTCGTCATCAGGGTCATCACTCTTAGGGCGTGTTGGAAATATCCATGCAGCAACTAAAATGACAGGCTTCAAAGGTTACTTTCTGTGGATACCGCATTATCCATTGGTGGGATAACCTCAGCACGCATTATCCAGATTTTTGATCAGATTTTGACTCGCAGGTACGAAATCATCGCCTGGAGGACTGATGATCGATGTTCGATGATGGCCGCGCCGCATGTGCTACACAGTGCTACACTGGCAGTACGATCGTGACCCCCCGGACTCCTGCCACCTCTACCCCTCACTCTGCCTCTCACTCCGCTGACCCATTCCAACCGCCTACACCTACTTTGTTCCGAAATTGACCTGTACAAGCCTGCCAGAATGTCCCCGCTACATCGGTTATCCACAACTACGCGAAAATGCAATCAACGCCCGTCCATCTAGTGGTGTTTCATGGACCCCTGATTGTGGGCTATACCATAGCCCTGATGCTTCCTCGCGAGCCTCGGACCATTCCCACAGACTCTTCTTAACATCCTGACAGTACTAGAATTTTCATCTATATGTACCTCAGGGTTTTCGCAGCTAATGTAAGCCTCTTATAGCCTGTTATTAGTGGCGCCTAACATTCTTGTAAAGGTGACTGCTCACGCCCTTGGTGCTGTGTTTTGCAGCCGCAGCTTCTGATGTGCCTGCTTGGAATGCAAGATTCGATGGCAGCTCTTCTGTCGATGGCCTGTTATATAGCGTGTTGCTACCTATTGGCACATCCGGGAAATTCGTGACTGCCTTGGTCGCTCTCAGTACACCCAGCACCTGTGCACCAACTGCAGGTACCAGTTTCAGTGGGTGTCGCTACGTGGTTCGTTGCTGGTGCCTGGACGGTCATTTCAAAAGGAGTGCGAGTATCATCGGCTGCAAACATCAACTCCGCTCATGATTTGTGTACAAGTATGATACCGGTGGCCATTTTTGGTGCCAAAAGGTTTTGCACTATTTTTGTAGACATCCTTGATGCGAGTCCCAGATATTATTATCGGTGATTGCTAACAAGCCAATCCCTGAGTCAGCCGTCATTGGATACTATCATACTGGGCATAAGTCTTTTCTGCGATAGTCCTTACGGAACATGTGCTATACCGGCATGCCTCGTTTTCTGAGGATCGATATCCCATCACGACCTGGGAATTCATATGCTCTCTTGTATCCCAGCGGTCGTAGCATTCGTGTGTACCTGTGGAGCTCTTGTTTCGTCCATGTCACAGGGTTGGTATGTAAGATTAGTAGTGAGGCAGGGCAGTGGAGACGTTGGTGTGCTCGTATGTTTTGTAGTGGGAGCTATCGCATACGCGTTGGTGAGGAGTTTCAAGAAGTTGTGGTATTGAAGAAGCTCAAGTTGAGCAAACCAGATAGTGGTGTTTTGTGGGGGAAACACGAGTTGTACACGAGGGATCCCAACTGCCCTTTGAAACTGCAACTAGACAAGCCAGGATATGATTGCATATGTGCCAAGGAGCTCACGAGCAAGCAAGATATCTAGTGGGGAACGGCGGGTTCCCGTTCGTTGATTTAGCGAGCACGTGATCTACGCGTCACGACTTGCCCCCCTGTCACCTTGATTCTTAAATGCTCTTTTGTCTTCATCCATGGCTTCAATTCTCGATGCGGACACGGCTTTACAGCATTCAGCTACTAATGAGACCGCTCACGATGAAGATTTCCCTGACTACATAACTGAGCAAGTCTCTGAAGGGCGATAGCGACTGTAACGTATCCGATGGTCCAGATGATGGATGTCCAAGCGCAGAGTCAGACTCGGAGGAGTCGGTCGAAGACAACGAGGAGGACTCTTTGCGGTATGTCTCATATAACTGCCCCATTACTTACTGATCGTATCCGATAAGCTTTGAGGCAATACAAAAAATCGAACGACTAACAGTTGTCGTTTCTTGAACAGCTCGCTGGTTCACTACGAAACCCACGAGCTGATATAGCGTCCCACCAGAAGCTCTCAAGCAGCTATTAATTCCAGATCAAAATATCCCAAAATCGAGCTTCAGTTAGCCGACCGTCACAAAACATCCTCCGAATGGTAATGCCTTTACCCCGGGTCACAATCTGCTATTGTAGTCCCCTGATATGCGTGTTTTTAGCACCAGAGTTATACGATACCCTCTTAAGCGAAGAGGAGCGAGTCTAAAGCCATTCGGTTGGTCCGGTAGTCGTTTCATGATGGCTTCGTTTTTACCCAATGACCGTTCAAACACAGCACAGATTTTACGTGTCATGGACCTCGCTCACCAAGCCTTAGTCGACAATGTGCCATTAACGAAGCGGTATCTGTCTTTCGTGAAGCCTGAGAGTGGAGCTAAGAAGAAGCTGACCAGTGTTCTTAGTGATATGTACTACAAGGATGTCCCCCTCTTCAAAAGTCAGGGAACTGTTGATCGAGTGCGTTTTTTGAGTACGGACTAGGAGTGTCGCCATTCGTACTCATACAGCATCAGCTGATCGATGATCTTGCCGTGACATTGGGCCTAGAACGGGCCGACCTCAAAATTGTAACTCTCTGTCACCTAGTCACGGATATAATTCCTTGAATGTTGTTTTAGCGCGCTGCATCGAAGGGCCTTATATGCGGCACTGGACTGACAATTCACCTTCTCGAAGGCGAAGTGATTTCTATTAACGACTTGGAGGTGAATTTATTTTACAGAGAGACAAGCCCGGATTTTGAATGTGGTTGCCAGGGAACTTTGATACCTACGGGTGAGACCATAGAAGCGAATTTGAGCTGAAAGGGGATATTTCATGGGTTCTTGTAGTCGAAAAAGAGGTATTTCCTGGAGGCTGTTTCTTACAGTAGATGTTGAATCTGGTTCTCATTCTAGGCCGTCTTTCAAACACTGTGTCGTTTTCAGTTTGCAAGCCATCAAGTCGCTTCCCGGCCCCGGGCTCATAATCACTGTGACTAAGTGGTATGACACTGCTGCGCTGCTGCTTATATACTTCCTCCAGGGTAAGGGATATCCTGACGTGGCTACTCGACAACTCGTGAAAACCTTGTCAGACAACCTTCCGGCAGCAGTGAGTCGAACCTGCAGCAGTTTCTAAGTACTCATTATCACAGTCAATAGTATTCCAATCGTTGCACTTGTCGATGGTGACGCGTATGGACTCGACATCCTATCGGTGTACAAGTACGGCAGCCACAGCCTACGACATGAGAACAAAAAACTCGCAGCAAAACGAATCGAATGGCTTGGCATCTGGGCATCTGAAATTGCAGAGTAGATGCCGATGACTTTCTAACTCCGTTCTTACTGAAGTGGCTCACTTTCATAGCCTTGAAATCGACTTGGACACGCTGATCCCGATCACGTTGCATGATGAGAAGAAGGTAAGATGGGCTTTGTTCCCCGCCGTGAGTTCAACCATATCATTATCCTCCCCAGGCACTCGCGGTACTCAGCCGTCCCACCGATGTTGTGCCCACGAAATGGAGGCAGGTGTAAGTTTCATACCGCAACTCGATACTGAATGTGCCCGCAGAAAAGAGCTCACGCGGATGCTCCATATCCGAAGGAAGGCTGAAATCGAGATTCTGTCGAGCTCCTCAAGTCACAAGTCCAATTCCCTTATACATTACTTGGCTCATAAAATCCGCTACTTTATCGAGATGTCTGCCTGATGGTAATACGAATGTCAGGCGTACTATTACAACTCTTTGGCACAGTGGACTTTGACAACATCCTTCGCGAGTCTATGGGCAATGGCGTTACAACACAGCGCAATAACCGTCGTGAATGTGCCAAACACGTAGAAGATAGAACGACATAAATACGGAAGTGCCTACACCATACTACGATCAATGTTCATTCCTACCAGGAGATCGGTAAAACTGAAAAAAGGCATACAAGGCAAACGGTCTATGATTGTTTGGGAACGAAGGATCAACGACTTTATATCGTGTGGTCTACGAGAAATGCTAGCGTAGGAGGTGATCGGCAAAGTGAAACTACCGGAGAATAGAAACTGCATAGGTCTGGAACTCACAGTTCCTTAAGTAGCAATAAGCGCCTCTTAGGAACAAATTAGCTGCTGAGGCCTCGATCGATTACTGTGAGAGTTACAAATCCGAGCTGTTAAAGTCCAAGGCTTTATATAAACATTCGTCAGAGTGTGTGAAGAAATAATTCAAAGCGGGGAAAAGCCAGATCATCGTGATACAGTGCGTGGCGCATATTCAAGAAGGATATTGTGGTGGAGGCTCCTGCAGTTCTTGAGCCTGGTCAAGACTCCGTTTCTCGTGTTCAAATTCGAGTTCCTTCTGATGTCGACTCATATCTGCATGAAGCGCCGAAAGCTGGAGCTCAGACTGGGAGTTGCTTGAACTACCAACTGCTGGCACATCAGAGCTGGCCATCATTGGAGCACTTGCCGAAGTATCATGGGGGTACTGAATATGTTGGAGAATATTGTGATGCAGGGCGAGCGGGTGCTGAGAATGGGTCGTGGGGATTTGGGAGCGTAGGTACATCTTGCGTAGCTATTCGTTGAGGGTCTGTCGCCTGAAAAAATGTGCTGTAGCGGTTCTGAGCAGATATGGGGTATGAATTCCGATGAGAATTGTGGCTCGACAAAGGAGCGGCGCGCGAGATATCAGCTGAAGCCGGATACGTAGTATTCCGCTGGGGATTTGGGAGAGTAGGGTACATCTTGCGTAGCTATTCGCTGAGAGTCTGCCACCTGCGACAATGTGCTGTAGCGGTTCTGGGCAGATGTAGGGTATGAATTCCGATGGGAATCGTGGCTCGACAAAGGAGCGGCGCTCGGAATATCAGCTGAAGCCGGATACGTAGTATTCAGCCGAGGTGGGTGGAGGTGGAGGATTTCTCCCTCGAAATGCAACAGATTGAAGGGGAACGTATTGAGTAACTTTCGAGGTCGCAAGGGCAGGCTTCATCATTGACTTTCTCCCGAGCCCTCTGATATCGTCTCTTCAAGTTGTAGTACAGCAATACAGAAAATATCAGGAAAAACACTGGAATCGAGTTAACATTTTGGAGGGAAAGGCATGTAAAATGACATTTTACCTATCCCCAATGCTATCCCAGCTCGCGCTCCAGCGCTAGGCCCCTGGGACGAGCTTGAGGAACTGGAGCTTGAGGAACTAGTACTTGAGGAACTGGTACTTGTCACCGTGTTTGCGAGACTTGAGCTAGAGCTACCTGTAGTGCTGGACTGGGCATCAGATGTAGTAGACCCCCCTGGAGTGGTGATCACCACTGGTCCACCGGTAGGTGTGGGGACTGCCGGTGGTGGTGGCGTCAATGGAGTCAACGACAACGCCATGGTTATCGTTCAACAGAGAGGCTCGAGCCTGAGACTCCTTCGACGATGCGGAGGGAAGAACTGCCTAGAAGCCATGCCGTTGGCTCAATTATATGTGAGTAGGTCAGTACGCCGAGTCCGAGTCATACCCGAGCCATGCCCGAGGCCTACGTATACGCAGTCCACCACGTGTCTTCTTTTGAAAACAGCGGCAGCTTCGGTCCCATTGCATGCCCCATTTCATTATCAAGTTGTTTGTGGTGTTCAAGCTTGTAAACATTTATCGAGATTCAGAGATTGACGTCGAGCTGGGAGAATTAGCCGAACTATAATTAGACTTTGATTGTAAGTAGATCTGAGATTGCAGCTGGAAGGACTCAGACGTAAGCTATGGCATCGGCAGGTTACCGTGACGTATGTCCCGTTCTCCTGCAGCTGTACATACTAATCTGCCGCAGTGAATTCCAGCGCTCGTTGCGCAAGGGAAAAGCAGTTGGGAGGCAGGTAAGTTTTCTGATCGCACGGTCAGCGGTGTATTGATTTTGAAGTAGTAGAGCAGTGCGGACGCGCTGAAGCAGGCTATACTAACCTTCCCAGAGCTGGTACCGCTGCTGGCCGACAAGTGCGATATTTCATTGTCTCCAGAGCTGCGCAGATACAGCATTCCGGATTCAAACTGGCGTTGAATTGATTTGTCACATACCCGCATACTGACAGCTGTCACCCACGCAGTTAACGCGTTCTCCACATTTTTATGCTCAGAGATCTGTACTTTCTGGAAATTCGCTTCACATGTGAAATAGGTTCGAAAGCACCGCTAATGGAATTCGACCGTCGCTGAACGTCCAACGCTCCAATCCAACTCACGAGCGGTTCTTCTAAATGTACGCATCGACAACTCTTCGCCACTCGGTCTATCGACATCTTCATCCTTGAGCAAAGCTTCAGGAACCTCGCCCCGTTCATCCCACACTCTGTTTTGCTAGCCAAACAACTTGCATGCGATCCGCTTCCACCACTGACAGCATCCTCCTGATACAACGATACCTTCATTGCGGGTGCAGAAGATATCTTCAGCGTGCGTTCTCGCCGACAGGACGTGCGCGCGCGCGCTGGAACGACTCATCCCAGACGCAGGCGTCAGGGCGCAAGTCGAAGCGCTGTTCGATGCGAATCCTGGACTGGCTAGGCAGTTGCCTGGTGGTATGGTGCAGTTTGCGCAAACGATGGCGGATATGCCAGGATGAGGCGCTGGATGATATGATACTTGGTCTTGTGGTGGGTGCTAGGGAGTGACAGACATGAGGAGGAAGATGAGGTGGAGGTCGAGTATATTACTGTGAGTTGCTTTTTGATGTTTAGCTTATTTGAAGGTGCTGATGTGATTGTTTCAGCCAATCAGCTTATCGATATTCGGATATGACGTTGACCTCTCAAGTGGGGGAATTAGCCGAACTATAATTAGACTTTAATTGTAGATCAGGATGGACCGCAGCAGTACTGTATAGGCTCGTGACCAGCCTGGCTTATATACGACGGACAAGTCGAGTGGCGAAGCCAGTACGAGTGTAGGCATTTGGCAAGGTGAAATAACCGGACTCGAGAACGTAAACTACGACTAGTTGAAGTTCTGTTGAACTTGTAAGAAGGTCACCGGTCAGTGGTCTATTATGTTTAGAAGCGCTTCCCCAAGTAGCACAACTCTTCTTGAGCACAATTCAGTTGTCTTCCCTTACTGTCGCTCTTGCACTAGTTCATCTTCTACTATCTACTTTTCAATATGGTCGATACTCCAAATGTCCGCGTTGTTCCCGATGCTCTCCCTCCTACGTCACAGACAAAAACTCAAAAGAAAAAACATCGATCAAACAAGCCAAAACCTGCAGACTCGCGGCCTGCCGAAGGCTCCAGTCATTATTCCAGATACTACTTCTGCTGCTCTGGTTGACAGAGCACCAGAAGAGGCGGATGTGAAGGAAGGCGCAGTCACCCCAGAACTTGTTGCACCTTCTGAATGCTCCGATCTTTGATGATGTCGCCACCAAATCTAATCCGGTCGTAGAACTGCTCCAGAAGCGCTTGAAAGCTTTGAACAAGAAGATAGTATGTGTCACTATTATTGTGTATTCTGACTTCAGCACCGGGTAACTGACATATGTCTTCCAGTCCCGCATAAGCGAGTTATGCAAAAATGGATCACGAAAAACTGGATGATGACCAAAGGCGAACTCTGAAGACCCTTCCTTCGTTGGAGGCCGTTCAGAAAGAACTCAAAGACGTCAAAAATTTGATCGAGGTTTGAATAATATCATCAATTACCCATCGACAAAAACAATAAAGCTTTGTGTGCCAGTCCCACGAAGCTGATCTTGCACGCGGAATAGCTGAAGCTCCGACCTTTGATGATTTGGCCACCAAATCTAATCCGGTCGTAGAACATCTCCAGAAGCGCTTGAGAAGCTCTGAGCAAGAAGATAGTACGTGACACTATTATTGTGCATTCTGGCTTCGGCGCCAGGTAGTTGACGTATGTCTTTCAGTCTCGCATAACGAGTTATGCAAAAACGGACTACGAAAAATTGAACGATGACCAAAAGCGAACTTTGAAGACCCTCCCTTCATTGGAGGCCGTTCAGAAAGAACTAGAAGACGTCAAAAAATTTGATCGAGGTTCAAACAATATCATCATTTATCCTTCGACAAAAATAATAAATCTTTTTGTATGCCAGTCCCACGGAGCTGATCTTGCCCGCGAAATAGATACCTGGTCTTTTGGTGAGTGCTAGGGAGTGGCACACGAGGATGAATGTGAGGACGAAGGTGAAGACGACGACGAGTATATCGCTGTGAGTTGCTTTTTGATGTCTGGCTTGTTCGAAGGTGCTGATGCGATTGTTTCAGCTGATGCCCATACAATTTGTGAGAAATCTGTCGGATAGGTTTTTGGGGAGGTGGCGGGGCTACAGTTGACAATGAACAATCTGATAGTGATGCCGAGGAACGGAATCACGACTAGGGGTATGCGCGAGTGTTTGATTCTATGTACGCGAGCCACGTGTACGCGCTTCTTCGAACCTTGCTATTAATGTGAGTTGTTATACTAAGATTCGAACTATATTTCAACTGCTCTGCTGTGTGTACGACATTGCCAGTATGCCAAACGTCGAGGGCAATAATCGGGGGTTCTTCCGCAAGAGTTGCATATGGTACAGTACTTAGTGTCGGTACACGTCTCACCATCATTTGACAGTTTAATCCACGTTCTCCACCTGGACACAACAACTGCGTTGCTACCATCACTCGACACTCCGGAATGAAGAACATGGTGAATCATCTCTTTTCTCGCTCCTCTGCTCCCTAGGGCCATACTCCTCGCCTACACAGATTCCCCTTGTGGACGTCTTTGCGACACGAGGCAAACATGTAAGTCTTCCTAACTTTTCGATATCCATATCGTGATGCTGATATTGCACCGCCAATGCCCACAGTGGAAAAGGGCATAAGTTGGCGCAGCCACCGCGTCCTCCTCGTCAGCAAGCCCACGCTGGTGCCTCAAGTAGCAGCACGCCACCAGCAGGGACATCCAATATGATCGACAGAGCCACTCCAGCAATGTTGCAGACCGGAAGTACCAGTGTAACTACTAGTAACAGAGATCTCCTTCTCCGTTGGATGTTGAACATGTTCCAGACATCGACTGTTTTGCAGTTCTCACAAGGCGGTTCCCGCGTCTTTCATGCATAGGGCAAACAAGTTCGTCTGCTTCCAGCTCCCGCTAGGCTTTCTGTCCTTTCCGAACTTTTACGTTAGAGTAGATATCACTACATGTAGTGAGTATTTGAAGACACGCAATTCCTAATAAACGACTGCTATTGTACTATGATACGCACCATTCAGATCATAGAAAAAAAAAAATGTCGGCAGGTTTCGAACATGCACCATCCAAGAGGAACAGATTTATAATCTGTTAACCACTTGGTCATGAGTCTCATGGTTGACCTTGGAAGAAGACCTCTCCATGAGCTCATGCCCAAGGTGCGATCATGCTTAGAAATTTTTCGTTTGCCTTGTTACTCTCGTGTGATTGCAGACGAAGCCAATGTTATTGTTTGCATGTACCACACAAGACACGTGTGTAGGTGAAAAAACCGACAAATCAAAGTACGAAACATATGGATAGGAGGTCTTTATGATAGAACTAACAAATCATTAAGTGGGTGAACAAAGAGCGCGACAAAAAAAGCGCCTGTTGTGTTTCAACTTTCTTGCTGACCTTACTATCTAAGGCAGTGCACCATGCAGTAAGGTAGTTTGACCAGAGGCCTTCTTGAATGTGCCCTGCTTGCTTGTGCGTCTCGAGGATGGTTGGCTCCGTCCACGGGTATGCAGGAAGAGGAACAGGTGGGCAGGAGACACAGGAAGGAGGCAGACGAGAAAGATGGGCGGGAAGGATAGTGGGTATCGCATGATCATAAGGTAGACTTGAAGCGGAGCATAAATACAGTACTCCAATGGTAACTGCATGCTGGCGGGCAGGCGGGAGGCGCTGATCAGCACAGCACGAGCGCACTGCAAGGTGGTTGGCTTTGTCATCGAGCGGGACTCTGTCGGACTTGCCGATAGGCCCCAAACTCTGACCCCCGAGTCCGCCCCAGACTTTGGCCCCAAACTGACCAAATCCCTATCTTTCTGCATGTTATAGTCTGCGTGGAAGACATTCAAAAAGAATATTTTGGCGGAGTATCCTGCGGTTCTTGAGCCTCATCAAGACTCCGTTTCCTCCGTTCAAGTTCGTCCTGATGTCGAGCTATATCTGCATGAAGCGCCGGCAGCTGACGCCCAGGCTGAGGGTTGCTCAGTGAGCTATCGCCCGCTGGCGCATTCAAAGTGGTCATTACTGCAGCACTCGCCGAAGTTTCATAGGGTATTGCATATGCTGGAGAATAGTACGATGAAGGGCGAGCGGGTGCTGAGATTGGGTATTGGGTATTTGGATATGCAACATCCAGCCGAGGTGGAGGTGGAAGGTCTCCTCCCGGTGCCGAAAGCGCAGGCTTATAACCGACTATCTCCCGAGCTCTTTGATATCGTCTCTTCAAGTAGGAAAACAGTATTATGCACAATAACAAGAAGAACGCTGTGATCGAGCAAGAAACAAGTCAACATTTTGGAGGGTAAGGCTCGTAAAATGTCAGCTCACCTATCCCAAATCCTATCCCGACTCGCGCTCCGGTGCTAAGCACTACCCGGGACGAGCTTGAAGAACTGGTGCTAGTTGTGTTTGGATAAGTGGAGCTGGAGCTGGAGATCGTGCCTGTAGTGCCAGTTCTAGAGCTAGACTGGGTATTAGAGGTGGACCTACTAGAAGTGGATCGAGTGGTAGTCCGGCTAGCTCGTGGAGCAAGTGTAGGTACAAATGTCATCGTTATCGTTCAACAGAGACTTGAGCGCTGAATTCGAGATTCTGTGCGAAGGAAGAACTGAAGAGACAGCACGGGCCGAGGGTTGCCTGAAGTAGTACACCATACACGAGTTTATATATGTATTGATGCGTCGAGTTTAATTTTTCTTTATACAAGTCTAATTGGTCGATAGGATGTGCGGGGTCTGTACTACTTAGTACTCAGACCAAACTCAGACCCTACGCTGATTAATGCCCGCGGCCGCATGACGCACATGCTGAGCAAATATGATGACAATGTCTTATTGACAGCCTAGAGCGGACTCAGAGCCTTCTTCCGGGATATTACTACTCGTCCGTTTTTGTTCCCTGCTTTCATTCTTGTTCTACCACCGCAGTACAATCCATTTGATTCTTTCCTTCTGGAACTTCGTCAGAACCCTCACATCTAGGGGTGTTACTGACAGGCGTACGTATATAGTCCCACCCAGAGCCACCGAGTCCAGTCCAGTGTCCCCATTTGAGAACAGCGACGCCGCTGGAGTAGGGGACCCGGGTAGGAGTGGAGTAGGAGCTGTAGCACTGTAGCTTTGTCAGCCGCTCAGTGTCTTTCGGGCTTTCGATCGTAGCGTACTTGGTGCTCTTCATCACTCATCACTTTGCCTTGCTCGCGACACGCAGGTACACAGTCGCGGATACCGCTACCTCTCGCACAGGATGGACCGCTTGAATTTGTATGAGATTCCGGCCTCAGCAGCGTAGGAAGCGATTGGCAATGGCAAGGTAGTAAAATAACCGAAAGAATATAAACAACAATCAGTGAGCAACAAGTACCTATAGGAACGAGTTGCGGATGAGATCTCGAGCTTTACTGTGGTACAATCTACTACTGTTCAGAGTTCAGGTCATAGGTATTCATGAGAGCAGTTAAAGAATAGTGGGAAAGCGTTCAATTATTGCATTATAGTCCGTGATTCACGGTCAGGAAGAATATTGCGGCGGAGGGTCCTGTGCTTCTTGAGCATCAAGACTCCGTTTCCTGTGGTCGAGTTCAAGTTGCTTCTGATGTCGGGTCATATCTGTGTGAAGCGCAGAAAGCCGGCGCTCGGGCTGGATGTTGCTCGAGCTACCAGCCAGAGGCGTAGCAAAAGTGCCCACCATTGCAGCACTCGCAGGAATCTGGGGTATTGAATGTGTTGGAGAAGAAGCCGTGGATGTGTATGACGCAGATCGGGCGGGTGCTGAGAATGCGTCGTAGGGGTTTGGGAGAATAGGCGCATTTTGAGTAACTATTCGCTGAGGATCTGATGCCTGCGACAATGTGCTGTAACGGTTCCAAGTAGATGTGGGGTGTGAACTTAGATGCGAATCGTCGCTCAATAAGGGAGTGGCGCTTGAGATCGCTGAGAGGGATGAAGCGTGCGAGATATCAGGTAGATTGGGATATGCAGTGTCCAGTTGTGGTGGGGGTGGAGGTGGAAGGTCTCTCTCTCTTGAAGCAACAGAGTCGGGGGGGACGGTATTGACCCACTTCTGAGGGCAGAAGGGCAGGTCCATAACCGAGGCTCTCCCGAGCCCTACGAGATCGCTTCCTTAAGTAACACACTAGTATTGCGCAGAATATCAAGAGAAACACTGGAATCACTGAGTCAATATTTTTCGGGTAAGGCTCGGACAATGTCAACTCACTTATCCCAAATGCCAGACCAGTTCGTGCTCCAGTGCTAAGCCCTTGACTGGTGGTTGAAGACCCATTGTTCTGGGATGAACTGGGTGAACTGGTATAACTCGAGCTGAAGCTGGTTAGCGTGCCCGATGTAGTAGCTGTGGAGCTCGAGCTCGAGCTAGACTGAGATGTAGATGTAGATGTGGAGGTGGAGGAGGAGGTTGTACTGGAGGAGGAGGAAGTTGTACTGGTGGAAGAAGAGGTTGTACTAGTGGAGTGGAGGTCGTACTGGTGGAGGTCGAAGTGGTAGATGAACTATTGTCATCACCATTATCACCCTGATCCCCGTTATCGCCATGATCCCCGTTATCGCGAGGGAACATAAATCTAATCCGATGATGAGGAGAAAATTCCGCTGGTAGGATCATACGAACTTACACTGGTTCTCGCAGGTATACAGCGACGCCCGCAACCTCAAGGGACTGCAAAGCGAGAACAAAGGCCAAGGGTGGAAGCGAGTGAGACATGCTTACGGCCAGATTTTCCGTGGGGCTTTGCCAGGGAAAGGAAAGGGCGGGAAGCAACGAACGCGGTGAAATAGAACGGTTAGAAAAGCGTGCCCATGAGTGCCGAGTACTGCGGCGAGCATTAGTGCGAGATGCAGAAGGGTCTACTTGGTTAACACTAATTCCACTCAAACGCCACTTTATGATGCCGGAAGATGCACTTCGAATATTCGCAAGCTGCGGTCCGGGTGGGAATCAGAAGAACCAACTATTTCTGCTGCTGCGCTGTAACTAGATCATACTTACTGCTGCTGGTAAACCGAAGGTTGAAATAATTTGAAATGTCATGAGCGCGAAACTTTAATTAGCACGACGCGAATTAAGGTCAGGTGACTTACGCGTCCAAGCGCGTCGCGTTGAAATGAGTGATCAGCGGAGCTTGAAATTTGGAACTCGCTATAATGCGAATTGGCCACGGACCACAGTAGGTCAAAACTTGAACTGGTCCATTCACCAGTCTCTTGTCAACATCCATCTAGTACCTGGGCAGCGATCAGTCTTCTCTAGGCATCCTTATTCGCAACACAAGCCGTGTTACTTTCAATCTCCAATCATGCAAACACGGTCATTCTCAAGGTTCAGTCCTTGGAAAGCGTGCTCATCACGTCGACCAAAAGGCTGTCCCATCAGCAACGACAAGCGACATTGCAACGCTGTCGCAGCACATGCTCACCCCAGAACAGAGCCCTAAATCGAAACGTGCCCGTATCTCGCTCTCTAGCGTGCAAGGAGACTCAAACAAGGAAAACGTACCTCCCTTCCGTATTGAGACACGGAATGACGTAGTAGTCGACACACCGCGTGCCATACACACGTTAGTGATATCTACTCCCCCACCAACACCCCCAGTTTTGCTACTTCCTGTATACACGCGTGCTCGAGGACTACTTCGTTCGACCAGCACAAGTGTATCTCCTATAGCTGGCCGAGAGGATGAACGACAACGCATTCTGGAGTTCATCACCTCGTCGTGGTGCGACAGCACACACTCGTCCTTGTACATCTCCGGTACACCTGGAACTGGAAAGACCGCGCTTGTCAACTCGGTCCTCCGTTCGTTCGAGGAGTCCGAAGGGACGTCCGATCTGAGAGTTGTCTCTATTAATTGCATGGCCTTGAATGGGCTGGATGCCCTATGGGATCGTCTCTACGAAGAGTTGTGCCGCACAGAGACTTCCAAGAATGCCACGAAACCTTGCAAAGTCAAGGGCAAGCAAGCCGTCGAGAAAGCACTCTCTACTTTAAATCATAAGTGGTATGTACTATCACCACTGCTCATTTCGTCATCTGACCTCGGTCCCAGCATTGTTGTGCTTGACGAGCTCGACCACATTGCGTCTTCAAATCAAACACTTTCGTCAATTTTCTCCATGTCTCAACAACATCCGTCTACCCTCCGCATCATCGGAATTGCAAACACACACACCCTTACATCGTCCTTGGCGCAGTTGTCTACTTGTGAAGCTTCCAGCACTCTGACTCTTCACTTCGGAGCGTACTCTTCCCAACAACTTCTTCAAGTATTGCAATCGCGTCTCTCACCTCTCTACGACAATCTGGAATGCCCAGAAGCAACAGAACAAGCCAAAAAGTTCCTTCCTGCTTCAACATTAACTCTCCTCACAAAAAAAATTGCCTCGCAAACTGGCGACGTTCGAGCCTTGTTTGAGGTACTTCGGGGGGCAATAGACCTGGCTGTCATGGGTTCGAAGGTCCCAGATGCAGATGCAAATCCTCTCACCACTCCACCTCTCATCGTCAAACCGGATCACATCCTTGCAGCCCTCAAGGCGTATCTACCTTCCACTGGTGGCGGTCGCTCCTCATCTTCCTTGGCACTATCCCCCACCAGCAATGAGACCGTGTCCAAGGTCCGTAGTCTTGGCTTACAAGTCAGACTGGCTCTCCTATGCATACTTCTTGCATCAAAGCGGATGGAAGCCACTTTGTCTCTCTCTGCATCCACCACTTCAACGCCTACCAAGTCCCCTGTGAAGCGCGCAGGCTCTGTCGTTTCTCAAAGGACTGCTGGGCTTGACGTTGCACAACTCCATGCATACTACTCAACTGTGCTCACACGTGCAGATAACGACATCTTCACTCCAGTTTCCAGAAGCGAGTTTTCAGACCTGATAGGGATGCTAGAGACCATAGGACTCGTGGCGTCGAGGTCTGCCCGCATGTCAACTGCCTCTCCGTCGAAGACTGGTCGTCGTGCATTCAGTCGAGCTGCATCGTTCGGTGGAGCAGCGAAGGGGGCTGCAGCAGGCCAAGACATTAAGCTTGCGGAGACCATTCGCGCGGATGAAGTCCTGCGTGGGCTGGGTGTGACTGATGGCTCAGCTGCCAGTGATGTGCGTGAGGAGGAAGTCAGGGCTATATGGGCTAGGGAATGTGGACGCATCACACGAGAGTCGAAAACGAAGTCGGCGTCAGGCATGGGCGGCGATAAACCTTTCGATGAAGCATTTGAAGATTAGATTCGACTCAACACCACCTCCAAGCAAATTCTCTTCGTTACCACAGTGCTACCATGTAGCCATTCAGACACATTTTGCGTTATTTGTTTCTTATTACTAGTGTCTGTCTTTTTTATGGTTATGTCTTATACGGTACGGGAACTCATACTACGCATCATCTCATGTAATATTAGATAAATCACTGCATGCTGCATTGTACCGCAACTATTTTATGAATGCAAGTTCTTCCACCATTCGTTGATGTCGAGGCGTAATATAAGGTGGCGTAACGCCTCCACACCACCCGGGGCGTGGCGAATATCGCTTTGTTCCTGTAATGCAAGCAAGAGTTCCTGGCGTTGCGATGATTTCAAATCCTTCTCCAATAAGACCTCTAAGACTTTGGCCTGCAACCGAAAGATCCGGAATCAGCCTACTAGCTTCATAAATGTAAAGCAGTCAACTACATACCAAGGTTGACATTTTCTCGCGAAATGCAGTAAAGAGTACATCAAGAACTGATGACGCCTGGTATTCTTGCAACCGCCCGTCGTTGAGGTCACCGATCATAACGCAGAGCTCTAGGATAAGTTCTAGGCACCCACGAAGAAGGTCACCAGCTGCTCGTTGGGCCGAGCGCATCAAACAAGCACTAAGAATGTCGTTCAAGACAGCGGAGTGAGCCTCAGCGACCGAGAAGACATCCGTAAACTCAGAGCTTGTTCCCAAACGACACGCAGTTACTCGAGCCAGGAATGCGTCAAAGTTGCCCCCAATTGCCACATCGAATATATACGCGGAGAGGGTGGTCACGAACGAATGCGCCACGAAACGGAAGTAGGTGAGGAGTTTCCTGGATTGGTTCAAGGTCGGAAAAAGTACATTTTGATGCGTCATGCGGAAGGCCGCTCGAATGGCAGATTCCACTACACCATTTTGTTGAACGTATGTGGAAGTACGAGATAACCGTAGCTCACCTCTGATCAGGCGTAAAAGGAACGAGAAAATCCTTTGGTATTTGGATGCAGTGTCCGATGTGATAATCACGTCCAAAGGATGAGGAACTTTGTAGTCAAGATACAGAAAGTCTAATGCTCTGGTGAAGAAATATATGAAGCATGTTCGATCTGCAGCAAAAATGACGTTACTTACTCGATGTCTAAGTGTGTATGATGACTTAGTGTGTACGTACAATGCATAAGGAAACCATAGCTTACAAAGTGGGTTGAGCCATCGTTCGCGTCCCGTATCGCTGGCGAGGTCTCTGATAGCGAACCCAAGACGAACTTCAGCTTCTTCTGCTATGCGCCTCGACCCGAGTTCATGCTCCTGCTGGCTATCATCGGGGTCAAATGAACGTGTGTCCTGAGAGTCCACGATGACTGTTCTCAAGAAAAAGCTAAGGTCGGAACCCCCAGGAGGCCACGTCCCTCGCTCTGTCAAGAACGGGGCTAAGCCGACGGCCCAACGACTGGTGCCATGTTGAGCCACTCCAGTGACAGATCTACTCCTCTGGCGTGACAGTGCGAATGATTTTCCGCCTCCGGCGACAACCTCGCGGTCATCGGTGTCAGAGAACAAAGCAGCTGTGAGTCGTGATTTGAACGACGGGGAAGTCAGGAGCATATGTGAACGAAGTAGAACCAGATGGTCATGTACGTAGAGGAACGAGTTCTGGTCCAGGAATATCGATAATAGTGCACTAGAAAGGGAGGCAGCATGTGAGATGAGCGGAGAAAAGACCAGGTTAGTCAGGAGACTCAGATTCGGGGTGATTGAAGGGAGGACGGGTGGGAAGGACAGGATGAAGCTTTCCAATGCGGCATGCATTGAGTGCTCATTGAATGTATTGCCTCCGTTTGAGCCAGGTTCCAGGTCGAAAATCCGGAAACCGACGAGTTCGGACTGGTAGCCGCACCCATGGAGATTGTTATCAGCCGAAGCTAGATCAGGGGGACTGCGGGGGCCGATCGTTGGCGCGACATCACCGGCCTCGCTAAGAGACCCTGTACTCCATAAGTCTTGAATGTCTCTGGTTGACCAGACCCACGTGATGAACGGCCGTCGCACCGGGGGATTTAGTACAGGATGACTGGGTTGTGCGGCAGTGAGCAGTTTGAGGGATTTTTGAGCGGCTGGCAATGCTTCCGCCAACTCGCGTGGTATAAAAGACGGCAACTCATCATCTTCAGCAAAGAGAACTCCATCATCCTCAGGCGACGCCTGATCGAAGTCTTCGATGTCCAACGGACCGATTGCAGTCCGCTGAGGCTGCTGACTTATTGCTGCCCGCTGGCTATTGCTGTCAGCGTAGGAAACTGAGCGACACAATGCCTGCAAGTAGTTTTTCGAGGACATTGTGAGGAGATAAGCGAACACAGCAACCAAACTCCGGGAAGACGATTTGCGAAAATGGGTATCGAGATACTTATATATACGAGAAAGTAGAGCCACTGGTTTCATTGTAGATCGCGGATATTGCGAGGGAGACAGTCCAAGGCCCTGATAGAGCATGTTAGAAGTAAACGAGAAAACGCTAGCGAACGTACCCTTTGGCAAAGTGATGCTAGAGAGACGACAATTTCTTCCAAATCCCCATAATATAACCATGTTCCAGATAGGGTCTTCGAAGAGACGGGGATGCAGAAGTTAGAGAGAGGCCCACGAGAAAGCTGGTCACGTAGATAGACGAGCACCACAGAGAGCGCATGCGAGAAAGCATGGACCGTTGCATTTTCCTCTTTGCGTCTGCATTCTCATTTAGACAGCGTGATTTCATGGATGGGAATTGTAGAACCCACCGCGTTCGTACAACACTCAGGAATACCTCCAAGCGTCGCATCAAAGTACCAATATCTAAAAATCGCTTTAGGAGACTACGTCATCACATTAATAGACAATTGAACATGTTGACTAAAGTTGTTTGCTCACCTACTACTCATCGTCTCATCCTTGCCGCTGATAATTAGCTTGTTTGGTAGATTTTCTGCGCCTCCGAATGACAAGAACGTCTCTGAAACTGGATCCCACGTGTGCAGAAAAGACGAAGTTCCGAGAATTGTCATTCTCAACGACTCAAGCAGCTCAAGTTCATTCACACGGACTACACTTGCTCGCAGGTCGAACGGCAAAGGTCGCATGCTAAAAGTTTCATTTGTTATGCCATTAACAATGCAAAAAAATGAATCTGACTGGTATTGTGCTGAAGCTGATACATCGGAAGACTGTTCGGTCAAGAAGGGAGTGTTGTATGAACGGTTAGGGTGTGATTGGCGCAGGACGTCCCAAGAGACAACTTGATCCTACATTTTATTACTGAGTCTTCACACCACGACACAGGGAGTTCTCACTGAATGTTGATCACCACCGGCCACTGATTTTGCCCATAGCACCTCTGGTGACAACGAGGGAAGTGCAGGAGTATCTCGAGCGCGCGTAATATATCTTGGGTCAGGATTATGCGCATCGCGCTTCCCTAGAGTTGTGGCCTTCTCCCTCTCGATTGCATGTACTATGGGGTCTTGAGGTTTATCGACCATTCGAGGGACGAAGAACTGAGGTGTTATATGTGGCAGGATGCCCAGTCCCGGATCCATGCCATGTTCGTACTGATTCCAGGCATCACCAAACAGTGACATTCCAAAACACGCGATGGATATCGGTTGTCAGGTGTTAGTTTATGACATATATACTAGTAAGTAGTGCTCATTGGATAGCGTAACTGTTGTTTGGTGCTAATTGGCAACGCCTTCCCTTCCTAACACGACCAAACATGAGACAGTCCATTGATCACTGGCAACTTGTGGCATTGAACGAGTTGTTTGTGTGCTTGCCCATCGCCACGTCCACAGATTCCACAGACCGGTGGAACATGGTTCAGTGGTATCTCAAATGGGGCAACTAGGTGATATAGTTCCTTGGACGCCTGGTTTGTTCGGTTAATGAATTATTGTTCATACTTCCACCACTCGAGGGACAGTCCACCGTTTCCATGGCAAGCGGTGCATCCACAGTGCAATGAGGCTCCAGGTTTATAAAGTCTCGAGACCTCGGTACTGCAAGTAATCATCCGTCGATTTCATCCAACTCTTGGTGATACACAATCTCTTCTACATACGCTACTGCAACTAGCTATGCCTTCCACTCGTCTTGAATCTGGCTCGAACAAGGAGAACATCAGCCCGATTGGATGCCAAGGGAGGCAGTCATACAAAAAAACCAAGGCGCTCCCGTTCGCGGTGATGCCCATATCAGCGGAAGTGAAGAAGAGCCAGTCTGCAAGTATTCTACAGATTAGTCCTCTGGCAGAACAACATGCTGTTTGTGATCAACATTCTCTGGGTAGCATCACATACAGCATCTTCGCGGTGTTGGATGACTCTCTGTTCTCACAAAGCGCTGACAGCCGCGCCAAGGAATTGACGGAAAGCCCGCTAGCTGAAGTGACAGATGCATTTACTTGTATGTACCCCTGCTTTTCATTGCGTCATCTTGACGCGTCTTGGTCTTCACAATGCTCATGAGTCTTGCCCACAGGATGATACCTGCGCGTCGATATTGATATTTCCTATTTTTGATTATTGTCATCCTTATGTTATGTTTTACGGTCCGTGTATCACGTTAATAGGTAGAGTAGACCTCTTGTTACTTGTAACTGTAGTACGCGGTCATGTGATTGTCACGTGCTACCCAATTATGCCTTCAGAATCAACGTGCCTTTACAACTTCACAGTGGGCAATGAGCATGTCATTGATATCGTTGTTGGCGCAGTCCTGGTATTTGGCCCTCCTCTGGGTGCAATGACAACAGAAGAAACGAGTGTGGATTAGCAGCCAGATATTTTGGTGTACTGCACATTAGTTCTTTCGGAAGTTGTAACGCGACAATTTAATTGAAGAGACTGAAATAAAAACCAGTAAGCTACACGAGCGCTGTAGCTAGCAGGCTTAGCTAGATAGTTAAGCGTTGCATGGTGAATCGATGGACTAGTGGTCGCACGCACGCGTTGTTTATTTGTGCTCCTACCATCAAGTTGGACATCGTTATTATATTATCTTTTCCCACCATTTCTTCATCCTGTCTCTCGTTCATCATATCACCTGCGTGACGTGGTGCTATTTGTCCCGGCCTTAATTGGCTCCTCAGTTCTCAGTCATGCCTACAACCAACCGTCGTCCACTAAGTACGCGCACTCTGCCACTTCAAGTTCCCCCTACCATGTCTCCCTTCAAACAAAGTGTCCGTTCGGCCTCCCTGTTGCTCAAACGTCCTCGATCACCGGACCCTGCAGCAGATGAATCCGTCAAGCGGGTGAGACCTGCTCCGACAGAAGCCACCCACGGCGAGGACCGCAAGGATAAGGAACGAAGGCGCGTAGAACGGGAGGCTCAGAAAGCCGAGTTTCGTTTCAAGTACAGTCGCGCATTTCCTGGATGGGTCTTTTATTTCGACTTGGATTTATCGGATCCTGAGAGTGCTGCCCTGCGAGATTCATTAGCAGCGCGGGTGGTGCACCTCAAATCAGTACGGCCGATTCTCTGTGATCATTGTACAAGCGTCTGACACTCCATCAACGTGCTTCTAGCAAGTAGATGACTTTTTTTCTAGCGAGATTACTCATCTTATCACTAATCAACCTATCACTCCGATCGACCCTACTGCAAACAAGGAGAATCGATTGCAAGGCCTCTCTGCACGAGCTAGCTCACTGAAAAGCCCAATCAAGCTCCGTGGACGGTGCATTGAGCCATTCCGTTGCTGTAGACCACGCTAACATTGCCAATTCACAGTACTACCGAGGATGCCACCTCGCAGAGCTTCAACCTTGTGGAGAAGGCAAAGGCCTTTAATATGAAGATATGGAGTCCGGCGAAACTTGACAACATCCTGGAACGATGTGATGTCCCAGCCTTTGCATTTTCCCCTACGAAACCTCTTGCACAGGCAACTGCTCTTGCCCCTACCTCCAACAAACGGTCACTATCTAGCTTACTTCAAACCGAACGCCTTCATGGTACCACCACAGAACGTGACCCCACTCAAAAGCGACATGATTATCGATATTTCTCAAAACAGAGTTATTTTGTGCTTATAGAAGACGTACGGCAGGAGTTGGCGACGATTCACGCTCTAGAGTATCCTATACAACGAGGACACGACGGGAAAGAGCAACCCGCGTATCCTGTCCTATACTGTGACCCAAGGTCTCGGGGGCCTTTTATAAAATTTGATGAAAGGGAACGGAGGCGTTGGGAAAGGGCACAAAGGGCGGACAGGGAAAATGAGAACGAACGCGCGGAGAAGGTGGCTAAGGCGCTGAAGCGCAAAAGGCAGGCGGAGGTTCAGATGCTCTCGCGCAAAGCTGGCGACCTCCGTCGTTCAGTGTCGATGAATAATTTGCATCGCCAGGCAACTATCGAAGAATACGTTGACCTCGATGCTGACTACGGAGATGGGGATACAAGAGAGTCAGCGACCGCCTCAGGCTACCTTGCTTCGACAGGTGCTGGGTCATATGTTGCAGCATCAGGCAATAGCGTTGGCATAACATCCACAAGAGGTACAACATCCAATGCGGGCGGCGTTTCTAGGACCCTGGAACTACCTGCTTCTCTTCGGTCTAGGATCCAACAACAAGTCGTAACATCTCGAAAAGCTCCGAATGCAACTCACACTCTCGGCCGAAAAGCAGGAGGCATGGGCCCACCCCTCACAATTCCGGATCGCCCACTGCTCAGGAAAAGTAAGAGTACAAACACCCTTCGATTGCCAAAGCGTGACGAAGGGAGCAAACCTGGTTACTGTGAGAGTTGTCGCGTTAAGTTTGATGATTTCGACACGGTAGGATCGCGTTTAATCCTGTATATGAGTATCCTAACGCTCGGTCCTTCAGCATACACAAGAACGGAGGCATCGTAAGTTTGCTATGGACGATGCAAACTACATCCAGCTTGATTCGGTTCTCAATCGCGTTCGACGCCGGACCTGCCAAGAGGCTGAGGAAGAAGAGCGCTTGTGGTCCGAATGCGGTTATGACGGCGTGTCGCAAAGTTCCGAGGTACCTGAGACGTTAGGGTCCTCACAGCCAGCTCAAGACGATGACGAGTCTATGTGGGACGAGGAAGATGCTGAGGGGAGAAGTGGATCTGGATTTGTGAGTAGCAGTGGATCGATAGTCTTCGGTCCTGTCCAAGATTTTTTCGAATTCTTTGCATTTGGCTTTACTTCATTGATTTGTGTCACACCACACACAGCACTTGTAGCATTACTCTAGCATCTTCACTTGTCAATGCTCGACAATGAGACGAGCAAACAATCGGGAAATCCCAAAGGAAAGGAAAGGCAAAAGTGATATAATTCTCAAACGATCGTAACGGTCAATAACGTAACAATACCATCTTGAGCGATATCTGACAGTGGCCCTGAGGTCAGACGAGCAACTACTTAACCGATCAAGCTCACCATGGTTAATACCATCAGCGCCAGGTGCGAGGAGACCAGTGACGTTTTTTGGCAGTGGTATGATATTTGACCCCATTAAACCATGTTTTGCCAACCGCTGCTGACACCAGCTGGTTGCTGAAACTGGATTAGAACGTTCGTTATGATCACAGAGTTACTTACCGGCCAATATCGTACCCATCTGGCACGACATCATGATTCTCTGTTATGGGCTAAGGGTGACACTCAGCTGTGTAACAAAATCTTGTCGAATTACGCACCTCCTCTCGAGACACGCTGGCATTCCAGGTACTAAGCTACCAGTAGAACAAGTAACAACTTAAGGATGCTTACGCTAGAAAGAGAGCGCCACTGTCCGCCACAGTGCCGTTCTGTACAAAAATACTGGGCGAATATTATCACCACCCTAGACCATTAGTCAATAAATTTACCGAAAATGGTTTCCTCCGATGAGGCTCTCGAGACATGTTCCGCCTATAGCATAGTCCTGGCGAAGTTCAATAGTCTGATTGACCCATCCGTTTCCATCCCCCAAGTCGGCGGACATATAACCACCTAAGTGAAGGCCAAAACATTCTTTAGAACTATCACGAGCAAATAAGTAAGACGCAGTTCACAATTCTTTCTATGCTTACAATCCAATAGCACGGGCAAAATCGATAGCTCCGTGAAGTGTGAGGACATGGGGAGAGCTAAGTCCAGAGATAATCACCTAAATTTTTGGGGTCAGTCAGGCTGTACATTAGACGAGGGCGTCATGACAGTGATGAAAGAGAAATACATTCATAGGTTCGCCGTATCCGTCGCCAGCATCTATGAGCATCGATCCACCTCCGGCAGTCGGGTTATAATAAGCAACGCCACCCCGCCCGTCCATTGTAGTAGGTGATGACACTAGATTGAATGTTAGATATGGCATCACAAAACCAAGTAAAGCATTCATAAGATGCATCTTGTTGATGAGGGATGAATAGCGTCGATTCTTATGCACGGATCAAAGCAGGGGGATATAATCTAGCATAACGCACCTCATTGATTTTATACGCACTAGCTCGAAGGTGGAAATGGCATGCTAGGAAGTAGCACACAAGGCAACGAATGTAGCTGGTTCTGCAATTATGCTAAACCACAGTACTGTCGGCACGACACGATTATAAGACAACCGTTTCATTTGTACACGAATAATTTGGGCACACACGTGCATTTATTTCAATAAGTCCAAAATCAAATCTAGCTGAATCTAAAGTTTAAACCTATCACATGATCATAACCTCACCAGGTCGACCGAGGTATCGATAAACAAATAGGCTGCGGCTTGGATACCGCAGGATGCATCATGCGGCCAAGAAGTTCGTGGCGAGGAGATCGAGGCCCCCCAGACCAACCCCCATGGGCTGAATTCAGTCCATGCACCTGTGCTGAAGAAGGGAATTTATTTGAACTTTGGAACTGGTGTCGAGTATTTGGTAGGATGTAGAATCCACGAATGAAGATCTCTTTAATGAGCACAAAGTCATTTTTTAAGATGAGGATGTCGATAAGCGAATGAAAAACCGGATCATACGACATGTTGCCAACTCAACATCAATTGAGGCAATCACCAGCATGTGGTTAACTTTAAGACAATCTTCCTTCATAACTGGACCATCGACACCAAGCCAGGCAAGAGATTGAACATTATCAAAGCGCTCTATGATATAAATGCGGAAAGCTCACATAAGAGGACTTTCAAGAAGCGGTCCGCCTTAAAGTTAATGAACGTTTGAAGTTCGTTTTTGGAACGTTTGAATTTCTCGTACTTCTCATCAACTACAGATTCCATATATGGAAATGTGTTATCGCGGCCCTCGAAGCTCAAGGGACTGAGTTAAAACATCTGCAAGACAGATCGTTGTCGAGGAAAGTAGCCCGGCCAGTGCACCGCTGTACGACCCATTTGTTCACAACAAAGTCCGCACTGCCTCTACCATTCAGCTACTGATCTGCCGGAGACCTCGAGCTCCATACTCATGGCTACCACTGTAGTGACTTCAGATTGATACACTTTTTATGACATTACAGAGACAAAAGACTGACTCCACCATGCATTATTTTTGCTGGCCTGTTCGATTTTCAAACCACCCTAAAAGGTAGCGTGACAACAGTGTCACATCTGCAAGTAGGTTACCGAACGAGCTCTAACGTTTCTCCAAATTGGTAGGGAGTTGGACACTAGTAGTCGAAGGTTGCTGGTGCGGGATAATAATGGCACCGCAAGATGACTCGCTTGCAATGAGCACGATGATAGGCGCATCATGAGCTGCATCTTGAAGGTCGGAGAACAACATCAGTAAATTCTCACATTCCTTAATCAGCTTTTCCGGCGCTTGCCATTAATTAATTTCCCACAAGAAGCAGATAAGTCCAAGGCAAGGACATTAAAAACCGCTTGCCGCAAGCCGCCACAAGTTCAACAAGTAGATCCCTCCTCTTGTTTTGCACTTTTTCATTCTTGTCACAGACTTATTTTACACTTATTTTACACTTACTATTCAACACAGTTATTAACAAGGGCTGGCAAGTACTTGACAAGCATGGCACTTATTTTCACTTGCTTTTACTTGTGCTCACTTAATTCATAAAAAAAACGGCGGAAAATACTGCATTTCAAACTTGGCAAGCGGACAAGTTAATATAAAGTAACAATCAAGTGCTGGTAAGTGACAGGAAAAGTGGGATACTAGTAGCGATGGTTCAGCTTGAAAATGTGTGAAATTAGTGCTACTACCACTACTATTAGATGACGAGAGATGGACAACGAGAGGACGAAAGACGAAAGACGGACAATGAGAGAATGAGAGATGGATGACGAAAGACGGGCGACGAGAGATGGACAACGAAGAGCAATGGAAAACGAGTGAATGTCCTAATATCACAACACAAAATCATAATAGTCAGTTGCAAAACAAGTAACATGAAAAAGAGCTGCACCGACTAGCAGATGAGGGCGCGCTCATCCTCTGATTCCTCGTCCAGATCCCTTCACACACCATGCCTCTTTGTGGTGAGGTTCTGAGCTCTCTCCCACATCTTGCTAATGACCAAGTCTCCTGCGCGGGTGATGGATTTAATGTACGACTTAGTGGGTGCACCCCAATTGGCATCAGAAAAAGCCAAAAGAGCGCTACTCTCGTTACCCGTTGATTTGTTGTGCTTCTGGGGGGCCTTGGAAGCCTTTCCTTGGCTGTTGATTTCGATGTGACTTAAAAGAAAGCCCTCCCTGGCAAAAAGTGTGATTGCGCGTTCCATCTAAACATGACCAATGAGTTAACTGTATAAATAAAGAATGGAGAGACCTAGCACCGCCGAAGTGGCAAGGGCAAGTGCCCCCTTTGCATGTCCCAATGTTGTAATCCCTGGCACAACAGCGAGAGCACCAGAAATGGCACAGTGATGCTGTGCAAGCACCTGCATGATAAGGTCAGATTGGAATGGCTCCGTGTGCTTACTACCGTCCTCCTTGATTGTCCCAAACAAGAAGGCACTCTTGTTTAGTAGGCACGCGGAAAATTCCTCGTGATCTTCATCGGTCTCAAGATCAGACTGTGAGTGAAGGAAGTTTGCAAATACGACAAGGGCAGTGGTGCCGAGGCTGTTGCGCCATTCTGACAACCGCTGAAGGGCCTGCAAAAAATGAGAAGATCAAATGTGAATGGGGTCAAAAGGCACTTACCACGGCAATGACAGGCCCGTCAGTGGTGACCGTGTATGGGACAGCTTTGTAGACGGCATCCCAGATTAGTTGCAGAGTAGTGCTAAGGGGACTGTCTTTGATGGCCCAGACTTCGTCTTGATTGCCAATGCAGTAAATCAAAGTGGGGATAAACACACCACTCCACTTGCCCGACGTCTGACAAACTCCAGGAAGATGCTTCATTCTGTACTGAGATCGAGAGAGCACGATCGGTGGCGTCTCTGTTGCCTGGGAGGGCGTGATGCTTGTGCGAGAGGCTGCACTTGCAGCAGAGGACTTCAACCTCTTCGTTGCAGGAGCTTTTGGCTTGACAGTGATACCGGTCTACATAATTCCTAGTAATCAGTAGGATATTCCGACCAGCAAACGAATACATACTGCAGAAGTCTGTCGTAGTGTTACTGCTTCAGGTTCTTTCTTCACTACAGCCAACACTTCAACCTCAGATGACGGGGAGAGTAAATCTTCTTCTGTGAGTTTGCGCTTTAGACCCGGGCCCGTCGGCGAGATAGAATACATGGGAGGGACATAGCGAGACGAGGGAGGCTGGGCGAGGGACAGGAAACTCAATATCAGCATCCTGATCTGCGGGGGAGGCCTGCCCCGAAAGAGGAGTCTCAAAATCAGTGTCTGAATTGGATGCGTAGTTCACTAGGGGGATGCGGCGTGCAGGAGGATGGGGCTGAACATCCTCTTCCGAATCCGAAAGCATGATGAAGTCATCAGTGTTGTCATTTCCAATGACATCAAGCTCCTCAGGCATCGGAATTGCAGCATGTTGTGCCGTATTCTGTGGCTCCTCCTTGTCGTCGAGAGCAATGGGAGTTATCTTAACATTTGTACCCTGAGGCATTGATGAATGCGTGAAATAAATTTACAAATAATTGAACTCACCGCGGAAGCCTTGACTTGTGCCCCACTAGCAAAGCCGTACTCATTCGATTCATCATCGTCCTCCTCGTCTTCATATAGGTGCGAGTGTCGAATTATTGCGCCATCATTAGGATCGGAAGTACCTTGAGGAGTGAGTGGGGGTGCACTATTATAGCTAACAGTGCTCCCCTTGGTAAGCCTAGAGGAGGGGGCGGAACTAGAAGTGATAGACCGCTCGCTAACAGTGCCCCCCTTGGTAGACCTAGAGGAGGGGGCTGAACTAGAATTGGTAGACCGCTGGAGAAGGTTTGACCTCCAATCTGGAATACGCCCAGCGAGGTTGAACTTTTTGGCGGGTATTTGGCTAGCAGTATCAATATCATTTATTGCAAGATTGAAAAAAAAAAGAATCGTTTCAGTCAGATGAAGTTTCATTGTTGTTGAACGTCGTTTAAACAGAAGACTTACGCCTTGGCGACAGACATCTGATGGATATCACCATCACGTGCCCTTGTTGATGGATCGATAAGGCTCTCAGCGCCTGCTACCGCTTGAATTGCATCTCTCACTGGCGTCTTCAATGCTTTCTTATTGCTTTTGTCCTTCACAGGTTGTGCATCTAATTCCTCGTCGCTTGCAGGGTTTTCGATGTTAGCACCGGCTGCCAACAAACCTCCAGACCCACCACGCTTGCCCTTGGCGCCAACAACCTTATCAGCAGCGACCTCTGCACCTGCCTCCCCATTAGCCATACTCAATTCAGAGGTCGCTGAGGGCTTCACTCCCTTTTTTATGGGGCGAGCGCGGGGACGTTTAGGCTTCGGTGCGTCGACACGTGCAGCAGCTTGATCTGTTGCCATCTGTTCCTGGAGAGTTGCTATATGCTGATGCCCTTGCTGTATAGCTTGTTCACTTGCCTCTTTTTCCTCGAGCTTGCGCTGCCGGTCAGCAATCATTTGAGCTTTGCTGCGTCTTTTTGCACGACCCTCGGCCTCGAGCACAATGTGTCCTGGATGTTGGGTTGCATTTTTAGGACGAGTTCCGATACGCTGCGAAGCTGGCTGAGACATTGTATCACTGGAGGGCTTGAGACTGAAGGATATGGAGGCAGTGGTGACAAGTGAGTTTTGTGAAAATTTCTAGCCTAAGCTGACTCTGAATACTTTATGTGCCCTAATGTACGTTTGACCTTACTACCGCAAGATTTTGGGCTACATTTTTCGGGAGCTCTCAATTGAAACACTCAGCAGTGCTTTACTGGCCCGGCACTAGCGTTTTCCTTACAAGAACGTGATGCTGTTTGCTGAACCTTGGCTGAGGACTTCAAATCAGTGTTTCCTGGTTTTCTTCGACATACAGTACATTGATGTTCACCAGTAGTACCTTTCCAGTGAGTTGGCCAACTTTTTGACCTTGACAACAGCAATAATCGGGTGCTCTCATTAGGTCTAATATTGCTAAACCTTGTTAAGCGCCGAACCTGGAATGTTGAGCCATTAAGTTCTCATTCCAACAGCCTACTAGCCTGTGCTACGACTACCCCGTACTATGCCTCACCGTTCTCACAACCTCTTGCAGTTTGAGTGTCCAGCTCCAAATTGTACATGCTGGTTCAAAAACCGCTCGGGTCTCACGCAACATACGAACGTATACCACCCAATCGATTATGTTGCACCGCCTCCGGGGCTGCGCCTTCATGATCCTCAGCCATCACCTCGACGATCTCCAAGTCCGGACGGGACCAGATGCTATCGATCATGTCAGCATCTGCACCCACACACATACGAGACGGTCCATACCATGTTTGCAAGGCTCATATTCGAATGATCAAAGTAAGTGGTGTACTAGCTAGTAGATGATAGCGCTGAAGACAGTGTTTACAGGTGAATTGTTCAAATTGGTCGAAGTTTCTCATGCTCATCGTTGTCCAGAACAGCAAGCGCAACCTGCCGCGTCCCCACTATTGGACTCGATACACACAACCCATCGGACATGACGTGAGTAATAGCGTTTGTGCACACATGTTTTTGACCTTATAAATTTGCAGACTGTTGTACAGAGGCGAGATTAAGGGAAAAGGCAGATCTATCACAAGTAGTACTATACAATATTGCACTTACTCACTTTTTTGTGCTTGTGTGCCGCGTGTTTAAATTGACAGCTTTTTTGTCCTTGTCTGCCTTGTCAGCTTTGGCAAATATTCAGTAGCTTGTGAAGGTCACGGCACAAGTGAGTAATTAAAAACAAGCGAAAATAAGTCTCTATTTTTGTGGCAAGTGCCGTTAAGGAGTTTGTGAATTTACTGATGAAGGGGAGAAGTACGAAGCAAGAGAAGGCTTCCAGGGTTTCTTCTACAGCTCTATTCCACTGCCCTTCCTCAGTGAGTCAGTGACTCTTCAGCCGCATCAGCATCCGTCTGAAATCCCCGTTTCGTGAAGTGAGACAGCAGAGCAATGGCGAGATGGGGCTGGTGACGGGTTGGTCTGGATGACCAGTGGGACGTAAATCAAGAGCACCTTGAAAAACAGAGACAAGATGTCGAGGTCGGGGTATGTTTCATTAGCCTGACCAAAAACAATTTTGCTGTAGCCAGACTGAACAGAGCTGCAGGGGTGATCCATGGGGCAGATATCCAAGGCGTGTTCAAAGTGATTTATGGATTGGTTGATATCCCCAGTGTTCTGCGTCCTGCATTATCACGCAAGAAGACGATGTCTGGCATCCGTTTTTAGTGCTAACACACCCACATTGCAGGGATGTAAGCTACACGTCACAAGCTCTCAGCATCAGAATGCCAGACTGCACTGACACTACTTGGGCTAAAAGGTTATGACTGTGGTACTCGTTAACATCTGTCAGGTGTTATTTGCAATAGACAACACCGACGACGCGATTTTTTCGTTGGCATGGGACCCAATTCAAATGAGGCATAAGCGCTGGCCCAAACCTTAGAAGATCATCTAAAGATGGCTCGCATGGTCTAGACTCTAGAGTTTCTCAATACCTGCAGGAAAGATGAGATTAAGGACAACTTACAGAAGTATGGGCTCATTCCATTCGACGACAGCCTGGTCTGCGTGTACGAGTTTGTTGCATATTTAGCATTCAGTACCGTCAGCCTTTACTACCACATGGAAGCCAGCGGGGATCCGTCAGAGGCCAAGAGTGAGATCAGTCGCGCGAATGGCTTGGGAGAAATCATCAATAAGTGCTGAACAGAGATCGATATCACATACCAGTAATGATGACTTGTTGCACTCCAGTGATGCGTGTCCCCCCTGGGTCCTGGGGTTATTTGGGACTCGGCTGCTCACCCAAGGCTTCGAGGGTATCATCGAGTGGGTCTAGCACGGAGTTTGTCGTGACACGAGATAGCAGAGTAATGACGAAATAAAGTGTTGCCAGAATCGCTTTGGGAAATCATCGGTACATACATGCTAAATGAAGATAGATGACACGGAGTTACAGATGTCGTAGCCAACCGGAACGAATAGCAGCAATGTTGTAGTCGACTTGGCATGGCTTGAAAAAACGCGCTGGTGTAAACATTATACACAACGAAAGAGGACTTGAAGCTCGCCATTGCTGGCGGGTAGGCATAGTCGACAAGTCGAGTTGGGTCAGCTGGGTCAGATTGAGCAAGGGCAAGTTTGAAGTGGCAGCGAGCCTACGGCGAAAAAGAACAGAAAGAATGAGACAAGATATGTCTCAAAGTTCAACGTTCAGTGGTGAAGCCTAGAGGAGAAAGATCATCAGTAAACTGGTGAGTCACTGGTATTCCTGATCTTCTTTATACATGACGTGTCCACTGCTCAAGAAAAGTAGGAATACAAACACCGCTCGTTGGATTGCCAAAACGCAACGAAGGGAGCAAACCTGGTTATTGCGAGAGTTGTCGCGTTAAGGTCGATGATTTCGACGCGGTAGAATTTAGTCCTGTATGTAAGCATCTTACATACTAACGCTCGGTCCTTCAGTACATACAGGAACGGAGGTATCGTATGTTTGCTATGGGCGGTGCAAACTACATCCAGCTTGATTCGGTTGTCAATCGCGTTCGACGCCGGACCTGCCAAGAGGCCGAGGAACTTGAAGAAGAGCGCTTGTGGTCCGAATGCGGTTATGACGGCGCGTCGCGAAGTTCCGAGGTACCTGAGAGGCTGAGACGTTAGGGTCCTCACAGCCAGCTCAAGACGACGAGCCTATGTGGGACGGGGAAGATGCTGAGGGAGAAGTAGATCTGGATTTGTGAGTAGTAGTGGTTCGATAGTCTTCCAAAGATGCTGTCCAAGATTTTTTTGAATTCTTTGCATTTGGCTTCACTTCATTGGTTCGTGTCACACCATGATACAACACTGGTAACATCGCTGTAGCATCTTCACTTGTCAGTGCTCGACAATGAGACGAGCAATAAATCGGGAAATCCCAAAGGAAAATAAAATTCTCAACCACTGGCAATCGTAACAGTCAACAACGTAACAATACCATCTTGAGCGATGCCTGACAGTGACCCTGATGTCAGACAGGCAACTACTTAACCGATCGAGCTCACCATGGTTAATACCATCAGCACCAGCTGCGAGGAGACCAGTGATGTTTTGGGCGGTGGTATTGTATTTGACCCTATGAAACCATGTTTCACCAACCGCAGCTGACACTAGCTGGTTGCTGAAATTGGATTGGTGACCCGTTCGTTACAATCACGGAGTTACTTACCGGCCAATATCGTACCCATCTGGCATTATATCATGATGTTCTGATATGGGCTAATGGTGGCGTTCAGCTGTGCAACAAAACCCTGTCGAATTACACAACCTCCTCTTGAGACACGCTGGCACATCAAGTAAGCTACTAGCCTAGTAGAACAATAGACAACTTACGCTAGGAAGAGAGCTCCACTCTCCGCCGCAGTGCCTTTCTGTACAAAAATACTGGACGAATATTATCGCCACCCTAGATCACTGGTCAATAGGTTTACCGAAAATGATTTCCTCCGATGAGGCTCTCGAGGCACGTTCCGCCTCCTGTGTTTCCATAGTCTTGGCGAAGTTCAATGGTTTGATTGACCCATCCGTTTCCATCTCCCAAGTCGGCGGACATATACCCACCTAACTGAATGCCGAAACATTCTTCAGAACTATCACGAGTAAATAGGTAAGACGCAGTTCAAAATTCTTTCTATGCTTACAATCCAATAGCACGGGCAAAATTGATAGCTCCGTGAAGTGTGAGGACATCGGAAGAGCTAAGTCCAGAGATGATGACCTAATGTTTTGGGGTCAGTCAGGTTATACATTAGGCGAGGATGTCACGGTGGTGAAAGAGAAATACATTCATAGGTTCAGCATATCCATCGCCAGCATCGATGAGCATCGATCCACCTCCGGCAGTTGGGTTATAATAAGCAACACCACCCCGCCTGTCCATTGTAGTAGGTGATGACACTAGATTGAATGCTAGATATGGCATCACAAAACTAAGTAAAGCATTCATAAGATGCATCTTGTTGCTGGATGATGAACAACGTCGATTCTTATGCGCGGATCAAGAGGAAGGGGCTATAACCTAACACGACACACCTCATTGATTTTATACGCACTAGCTCGAAGGTGGGAACGACATGCGGAAGTAGCACGCACTCAGGCTAGGCTAGACAGCAAATACAACCGGTTCTGCTAAACCACAGTGCAATTGGCATGGCTATAAGACAACCGTTTCATTTGTACACGAATGATTTGTGCACACACGTACATTTATTTCTATTGATCCAAAATTAAATCCAAGCATTTGTTTCAATAAATATCACATAATCATAACCTTACCAGGACGACCGAAGTCCGACAGACAGATGCCATGGCCGCGGCTTACATTGATGTCGCAGGATGCGGCCCTTGAAGAAGCTTGTGGTGAGGAGATCGAGGCCTGGGCCAAAGTCCACGTACCTGTGCTGAAGAAGGGCATTTAAACTTTGGAGCTGGTGTCGAGTATTTGATAGGATGTAGAATTCACGAATGAAGATCTCTCTAATGAGCACAAAATCGTTTTCTGAGATGTGGATGTCGATAGGCGTATGAAAAACTCGATGGTTGTCGGACATGTTGCCATCAATTGAGGCAATCTTGCGCTTAACTTACATAAAGACAATCCTTCATAACTGGACCATCAACACCAATTGCCGACTGAACACTATCAAAGCGTGGGTATGGAAAGCTCGCAAAAAGGACTTTCAAGAAGCAGTCCGCGTCAAGTAAGGAACGTTGAACCTGAACGTTTGAATTCTCCTACTTCTGAACTTCTTATCAACTACAGATTCCATATATGGAAATATGTTATCGCGGTCCTTGAGCTTGAGTTCGAAGCCAACTCGAAGCTCAAGTTATTCTGGGCTGGGAAGTACTGAGCTAACTAAAACATCAGCAAAACAGATCATCGATGGTCGAGGAAAGTAGTCAGTGCACCGCTGTACGGCACACTGGCGCTGAACACTTGTTCACGACAAAGTCCGCGTAGCCTCCGCCATTCAGCTAGTACTGATCTGCCAAGGACCCCGAGCTCCACACTCATGGCTACCACCACTGCAGTGACTTCAGATTGATACACTTTTTATGACATGAAAACGATTACAGAGACAAAAGACTGACTCAACCATGTCCGGAACATCAATATCAATGATAATTTTTGTTGGCCTGTTTAATTTTCAAACTACCTTGACCTAAAAAGTAGCGTGACAACAAGTGTCACATACGCAAGTAAGTTCAGGTTTCGGCAAGGTTTCGGTGAAGGCTGCATCATTCCTTGCATGAGACTACCTACAAACGGCTTGCCACTCAGTCAGATCGCACAAAGTGTTGAATGATTTAAAACCATCGCTATTTACCACCGTCTCTGGAGCTCAAACGGAATATTGTGAATATTTTAGGCCCTCACAGCTTTCGCACCTCTTGGGTTTATTGTACGTATGTTCTTTCCTTGTTCTGTCCTCGCCTCATCCGGTCGTTTGCTAGTTACAACTCCACAAACCTTCGGCATCTCTTGCTTCCTAGGATACAGATTTTTTTGTCCAGAATTTTGCCCCGTATTTTTGGGGGCTTGTAGCTAATAAACCATCCCCACACAGCATGTCTGAATCACCCGATGGAACAGACTCTGTCGAAGATTTGAACGATGATGGGCAACTGACCATCCGGATCCCCAATCCTAAAATGTTCATGGCTCGTCAGTCGCAATGGAAAGGGCGCAGAGGGAAGCCACGGTGTGATCGCTGCCGGGTGAATAACTTGAAGGTGTGTCCCAGCTTGCCACTGACCTCTCCAAAATTGCTAACGGCCGGATAGTGTGATAGGGTTCTTCCAACTTGCAATCATTGCTCATATGCGAACGGGAGGGACTGCGAATATACCCCTTTACCGACACCTGCTCACCGAGGAATCCCGCGGTGTGATCGTTGTCGTCTCAGAAATATGAAGGTATGTTTATGCTTGGATCAAATAAGTGTGTGCATCTTATTTATCTTTCGGAACAAGTGTGACCGTAACTTGCCGGTTTGCAACCATTGCGCGGAAGAAGAGAGTGCTACCGAGTGCAACTATACTCCTAAGAAGAGGCATAAAGTTCCATCCGATCATGGTATAACGCGGGACAGGCAGATGGCTCCCTACGGTGCTAAGACGGCGTCTTTCCTCGTCTCTGACGTTCCATCACCAGAGGAGCACGCCGCCTTCGCGCACAATGGTCCCAATGAGTCTAGAGACGGCCATAGTTTTTATGGACAGAACGTGGCATCATCATCGCGGAGTTGTGGAGCATCAGATTCATCCGCGTCACATGTTAGGGGTGGCTCCCAAGAGGGTGAACCTTCACTCCATTCGCATTTTGGTCGATTCACTCCTGACTACCATGGCCAAGGATGGCCCTCTACTTCTAGTTCAGGGCCTCGGAAAAATCTTCCACGCACTCAGCCTGATAGCTCAATCTCATTCATTTCGCATTCCTTTCCTTCTGACCAAGGGACGGTAGTCACAAAGTCCCTTGTTGAATCCTGGGTACATCCGTCGTTTGCGCCTTTGCCTGACGTGGTTTCCAAGCGGATCGGTAACGTCAATTCTGTTGAGATGCCCAGTCGAGAGTCCTTTGAGGATATCCTTGGACAGTTCCTCCACGATTTGCCGCAGGACCTTCGTGAAACTGCTGCTTTTTCACCGAATATTTACGCCGCCACGTCGCATGCATTGTCAAAAGGCAGCTTGGATGGTCTTTCGGATCGGCTGCGCATATGGCTAACAATTCACCATGTACGACTGGGATCTGAGAAATATCACCTTCTCCTGATACCACGGGACTCTTTTTTCCACCTCGAGGCAGCAGAAGAAGAGGAACTGAGGAAAGAGTATATTGGACACATAGACAACAGCGGAAAGACTTCTTCAAAAGTTGATGCTGTTGATCACGATTTCGGTGGTTTTGAGTGGACGAGAGCTTTTGAACGCATTCCCGTACAAAACCAGATCTACGATATCCTTGTCTACGCTCATCGAGCTCATGGCTCATCTTCTTCGATGCTCTTTGAGGCAAGGCGTATGGGAATGGTATGTGTCCTTTTGTCTTAACTATCGATTTATCCAATATTCCATAGGCTACTATAACCTGGCCGATGGTTGAAATGTTCATTCGTCTGTGTCCCTTGTGCAACCTGCGGAGCAAGTCGGCTCACAGTGTGAAACTCGAGCCTGCTTATCCTCCATACGACACGGATCGGATTAGCCAATGATTGTCGTCAATATGGATACAAGATGATATCTGAGGTTGACATTCATGCGTGTATCACGATAATTGGGAAGTATATCTTAAGGAAACTGCATAGTGTTTGTTTAGCAAGCGTGGCATAGTGGGTCGCATTTTCGGAAATTTAAACCGTGGATAATGGATGATTAAGTCTCTAACGTAGGTCTAGAATAAATACGTACATACTGTAACATACTGCCAGGTACACTATCCCGAACATATCTACTGGAATCGCTGCACTAGAATTGTGATATCGTCCATCCATTTATCTTCCATTTCCAAAGTGAGATTTCGGGAAACAAGCTCTGTGTTATCTCCACCGACAGCATCCCGCAAGAGCCTGAGTGCTAAATTGCTTTGCAAATCCATGTCCGTGGAGTGCATGTGATGTCCAACCAAACCCACCCAGCGGTCTGCCATTTCTTGGTCCGATAATTGAGTATCGTGATTGTCATACAAGTCCTGCAGGCCGTCAGATGACAGGATGAGGAGTGTTTCGTGTTGAGAGACGCCGAGGGAGTGGTGATAGACCTCAGGGAGGTCGGATATATACGGAGGAGTAAGAATACGATTGGCATACTGTGCTGCCTGATGCGGCGGTAACCAGTCTTGCAAGTGCGACGCAAAAACGCGGTGAGTGTAAACCGAAGGGACCTTGAGCCATGTGTCCCCCAACGCTAGCACAGGGTCTCAGGATTAGGACATGCCATGTAAAATATTTCAATTAAAGAAATACCTCGGGTCGGAGCCAGATATCCGACTACTCTGTTGTCACACACACAAGCTTGCTCTGATGGATGCTCTTGTTGTATGCGCTGACTTTCCGAGCGATTGTTACAATTATGTATAGAATTGACGACCATCGCGGACCATTTCCCAGATGGCAAGGATCTGCTGCCAAGAACTGTGATAATGTCAGGAAGGAGATATAAGATGATAAGGGCTGCACTTTACCCGCCATGGAATCTCCCAGATTGAGAATCCATACATTTTTCTTCAGTGGGTCGGATAAAGCTAAAAGTACCGTCGAGCCTTGAGTGCAGCGTGCTGATATAGCATTCCATTCAGAATAACGATGTGAGATGTGTTGGTTGAGTTGGACGTCGCTCATTTTTGTAAGGTGATCATGAGGTAAGAAGTCCAAAAGGTCTGAACGAATAGAGTGATCTAGATGCCTGACTGCACTACACAGTACTTCCGAAACGAATTCCGGCTTCAGGGATGTGGTAGGTACGCTCTGAAGAAGAGCTTGCAGTGACGTCCTGACCATCGAGGGAAGTCGCTTGTGGACATAATTTACAGTGTCGTGGCCACAATGACCTACAAAAATTCGTTAGTTCTGCAAGGGGTTACGTATGACGTTCATAAGAATCTAGAGCACCATCATAGATTGCCGTGAACTGCCAAACTCCGCCAGGGAGCTCCCACTCCTCAATGCTGTACCGGTCTTGATTGAGATCGGCGTAAGCCGCACATGGCTGAAAAGTAACGCTGTCAACAGATGCTGATGAGGTCGCATTGGACATGCGATGCAGTTCAACATCAAGTGCAGCCTCTGGCAGTATGTGATAGGTCCATTGTTCCTTACCCCCCCGTCCGAGATCTGTCGTATGGAAATCCTTGACTTCTTCAAGAGCCCGGAGATTTTCTGTGGACGTGGCCGCTTGAAGGTTGACCATATTGTAAACCATCGCTGGTGTGAATTGCTACCGCTTAAGCAGGAGCGGGAATTTGGGACATTGAAGCTAAAAAAATTGGATGAATTTATACGCAGATTGATGCTTCTGATACTCCTGAGGCTGGTGCATGTGGCAATGGATTCAACCCCGAAGACAGTTGGTCACGAGAATATCTCGACGTCCTCCTCGGTCGAAAATATTAGGAACTCAACGACGGATAATCCAGAACTGGGAAACCTAAGAGGCAATAGGCCTCGGCCCGCCGACTTCAGCACACGATGGCTGCTAGCGCGGTATTATCAGCCATCCACGAATAGTAGCCAGATTAGTCCAGAATACATAGACGCTAATTGGCCCAGGGCCACGCCGATCACCCTCTCTAGCACAGTGCGTCATTTCGAGACTGGAAACTTATGCGGACCCCCAGTGAAGTATGAGAGCACGTATAGATGCGAAATGAAATTTCTCATGCCACAATCGGCCTCCCAAACTGCACTCGGGTTCTGGCGTTTGAAAATGTGAGCAATCAAGAACTTTGTTCTGACACTTACATACTGGTAGTGTGCAGCGGAACGCTTAGCATCCAGCAACCGTGGTGTTTTGTTCTCTAAATCTATCTTGGATCTCCCATGGGCATGAGCAATATCCCATGATGGCGCTTCGGTATACGGACATTGCCGATAACCAATTACGCATTAGGACAGCATTAGGAGTTAGATCTGTTATATCAGACACCAGGAACTTTCAAAGCTTATGCCCTGAAAATGCCCTGAGCTTGTGAATCGAGAATTGTGCACCTGACAGTTCATAACAATCCAGGTAATGATGATCAACACCATCATGTGTACAAGGTGGACAAACGGTAATCCGAAATCTGGGTCGTATAGCGGAAACGAAGGTAGCAAAAAGTAGATTGACAGGAAAGTACGAGCGCATCTAGATAAGAAAGATAACTTCAGCGTACAACCTAACACCACCGAAATGACATCTTCATCGAAGCTCGAAACTCGCAAACGCAAGATTGTAACCACCAAATTGATAATTAATCTTGTCCGTTCTCTTGTACAACATGCGATCATTTTGTCCACTCCCATCGCCCGTTACCGAATCACCAGAAGAACATGACACAGGGCGCTGAGCTGTCAGAGTAGACTTGAAAGTCCGCTGAGCGGCTTCAACAGCAGTCTCACCCTCGTCCTCCTCGGCATTGTTGTTGGCGTTGGATATGAAAAGGGTCAGGCTGAGTCTTCCCGGCTGAAAGATGTCGACGACGCGTCTGATCAACGTATGTAAATCGGGGATATTTTTGGCCGAAGAAGACGGAGAAGTGGACAGTGGCACGTTGCACTCGAAGCTGGCATATGACCAGCCTTCTTCAGGAGTCACATGGATTGTATAGTAGCCCTCCCCGCTGTGGCCATCCTCAATTCCGTCGCCCCATTTCAGGAGAGCATTCGAGGAGTAACCACAAGGGTCGAACGCATAAGCATCCAATGTAGTAAGGTGAGGCGGGAAAAGATCTGAAATCCCAATGGTAGAGGACACAGTCCTCCCAATGACCGACGGAGACTCCGATGGGGCATCTTGTACTGGAGGAGCTAAGAAGAAGGACTCGCGAGCCTTGTGAGACAGGTTACTCATGAGGATCTCAATTGTGTAGTCCTGAGTGAATGGCGTGTCGGTTTCAACATTTTGAAGGGTCTGGTTGATCTCATTCTCCTCCCCACTCTCGGACTGAAGAGGTGACGACGAAAAGGAATTGGGAGAACTCGGAGTAGTTTCCCCGTTCCCGCCATATTGTCCAGGCGTCGTTAAGTAAAGCAGCCAATGGTCTCCATTGACTTTGCCTACAGTGTAAGCAGCTCCATTTGGAAATATGGCATCAAGGAATGACACTTCGTCCTTCCACTCTCGGTGCGGGCCGAGTTGGCGCTCAGGAAACATGAAGGATTTACGTGAGTAGAAGCATCGATAAACTGATGGAAGCGAGGCAAATTTATGCGCGATCTCGAGGATGCGCGGAAGGCCGAGGAGGTTTAGTGTTGTGCCGCATGTCTTCAGGATAATGCGATGTGGGAACACAAGCAGAGACGATTCGCTAAATTGAAGAAAATGAGCGATAACGATCTTCAACTGTGAAAAAGTATTAAATTAAGGGCCCTTCCAGCCATACAAGAAATAAAAAAGCGAGCGATGACCAATTCACATACCTCAAAAGATAAGCATCAGTTTCTTCGCCCTCAATAACACTGAGGACCTTGCATTTGACGATGTCCAGCATGTCCTCCCAGACTTGCTTTGGAACATTCCTCAGGCCAATACGGCCATTTTTTGGTGCATGTGCGTCTGGCACACGGGCAGGGGAAGAAGCGAACCAGATTTCCAGTAATTTCTCTGGGCCTTCAAAAGGCGTCGATGTGTATGGGAGGTGGTAGTAGTCACCAACAGCCATCGATTTCAGGAAGGGAGAAGAAACGGTTGCAGGATCTTGGGTGCTGTAAGCTATCGAGTTGCATCAGGAGTGGATTGGGAACAAGTAAGGTAAGGAAAATCTTTTAAAGCTTTGGAGTTGAGCTCAGTATTCGGTGTTCGGCATTTTCCATTCAATCGAGTCAGTTGCTAATGATCTTATGTACGATTTCTTATCTGATCCGGGCTCCGGGTATGATCTTTCCTACTCAGTGCTCTCTCCCTCAATATAATTCATCGTCCTTGCAATAGAAATACTGTTCCTCCCGTCGGATATCTCCAGATGGGCCCATCGAATTGAATAATTTGCAGTCGATATCAATTGGTAAGTAACAGTTTGAGACTGCCACGTAACTTACCGCTGTCCTACTAGCACACTCCACGCTTGAAAAAGTTCACAGCTTCCTCCACCGACTCGCGGTTTGACAGCGATAGGATTCCATAAGGAAGGACATGCGTCCTGCACCAACATTAGCCTATTAGCTGAAGACAAGTCATATCCACCAGGGTCAACCAATATCATCGGTTTGAATTTGAGTGATATTACAAGGTCTTGCGTCCATCTATCACAACCTTCAGCGGAAATAATACAATGCAATACATAGGAGATACGACAGCTTTAAAGCATAGGCCTGCAGTCCTTGAGAATCTGAGAAGTGCCTCTCGTCACCGGCGTTCTTGATGTTAGTATAGATCCTCCAATGCCTCTTCCACCCTCGGGAACAACGGGAATTCCTTTTGGAGTGAGCGCGGCTGATGCAGTGCTTACTATTGTAATACCTGGTCACCGTAAACTTCGTAACAGGCTTCTTTCTCGCAGCCGACCGAATATGCAGTTAACCTTGCAATGCGAACAGACTCGACGAGCATCAATCGTGAGGAAGATGCAAAGAATCAAGTCGTTTCTTATACTGGTACGTGAGCACCCAGTCTCGGTATTTACGGTATGTCGCGTCTCTGGCTGGCTACCTCAAGTCAATAATTGCCCCACAAGACAACAAACCAGTTAGTTGAATGCTTTAGCCATTAGGTGTCTGCCTAACGTGCCTTCAAAGATACTTAGGTTGCATACAATGTCTCCAATCGACTGTGTACGAATATAGCTCTAGTTTAAAATTAGCAACGAAGGGGAGCATGATTGCCATGCAAATAGTACGTGACTATGGTCTGAGTAGTGTGAATAAAATGACGTTGCAATCTGCCGATCTGGCTGATTTTAATCCTTTCTTTGGATCCTATCCCTCATATCGCGTGCTGCTTTCCTTGCACCCTCACTACCTGCCCACCCTCTTGTACGCAGCCAGCCCACCAATCGAGGAGTTAAAACAGCTGTCAAACCAACTCTGACAGGCAAAAATAGCGTTTTGTGGATGGTATAAGCCAATACCAAGGTGGCATACAAGCCCTCGCGGCTCGCATCTCCCGCAGAAATGGCATCCATCTCATCCCGCCCAGGCTCTGGTGGCTTGGTATGGATGAACCCGATAGCGATCTCTTTAATGTAGGCGGCAGCAGACGCGACCTGCTCGGCACCCAACAAGTTAATTCCAGCAAACGCGACAGTGAAGTCCAGTGTGGAGAGAACGATGTACACTCCAAGGGCATACCATCCATAAGATTTGATGAGGTGTTTCAGCCTTTGAGAGAGGGTAGCATCTGGAGGTAACTGTGGTGCTGGATCGTTTTGAGGTGGTGGAGTTGACGTAAGGCGAGCAGGGACGTGGTGAAATAGCCTCGGGCTCGACAAACGAGGAGAACCGGTCAGGGACATTGCGGGTACTGGGCGAGCACTTAACCGCGATGATATTGGAAGTATGGGTGCAGAGACTCGGAAAAGCGGCAAGCGTGGTAGTACACGTCTTAACATGGTTTGGGTATGTGCAGGTCCTACAACAAATTTAGTTGATTTTTCTGCTAAAAAGTAATTGCATACTCTGGTAGAATAAGGGTTGTTTGAGGTCGAATGAATGATATTAACGATGAACGATAATAAATCAGCACGAGCAAGAGCTGAAAATACTTTAAGAACCATGAAACACGCAACTATGCATGAACAGCCTGATCCGAACTTCCAAGTCCGCAAGTAAATTGCCGAGACGGCACGAGCAACTCTATCTATAACCACAATGTCGCTGGCGAGAGCGAGCCTGCTCTTGCGCCAAAAGCACGCAGTCGGGAGCGTTTCACTCATTCAGCGGAGATTCGCGTCGCACGATAGTCATGCTCATGATGAGCACCATGATGACACCCATTATTCACGTGAAGGTATGCTGTTCCGGTCGCATCCATAAACGAAGTCACGACTCATTTGCGCATTCTAATTAGCTGGTTTCTCTACACCTTTCTGGCGCAACACAGTCCTGCTTTCTCTATTTGCAGTCGGATTTTACAAATGGGCACCGTCGCCAAACCAAGACGTATATCTAACTCGGTGGCTTGCTCAATACATGACACCGAGTGAAATCTGGGCAGCTATCAATGAGAAGCACTTGTTGCTGTCACAACGAGCTTCCGACAATACCATTTTGCAGGCCGATGCAAAGAGGCCAAACGTGCACCGCTATAGATATCCTCAGTGAGTGACTTTGATTGGACATGCGTCGTAGTATATGACTGACGTTGTACCGGATCACGATCAAACAGAATTCTAGATACAGGCTCTCCTCACCTACAGCCAGTCGGGCGCGTTGCCGACATGAGTTCAACTACTGTTAGATCCGGATGAGAAGCAACAGAGTAGAAGTGGGCACTGCAGTGCTCGGGTATAGTTGATCCTCTCGATTGCTATGTAAAATTTTCTTGATACATTCTTCCGGTTCGGAGATGGGTGCACAGACTCGGAAATAAGCTGCGAGTTTCTAATTTAACGGTCTGTGTGAGGACTTCGTGAGGCAGTCAAGACAATTATAAAGTCCAGTCAAAAGTGCGGTGCACCGCCTAGGTCCATGACCTGGTCCACGTGGACGTGATGGTTTATTGGAACGCGTTCTGATGGGAAGATTCAAAGTTTCAAACCGTCTTTCCTTTCAACGTCGTTGGGCTGACACTTAAACTCTGCTTTTCTGTAGAGGACTCTAGGTTCCATCAGGGTTTATATACCCTGGAACGTTACCGTGGGGACTACTGATATTCAAAATGCATTCGCAGTCATCAAGTTTGATACGATGGCCCTCGACATTCTTCTTCGCAACTCTTCTCGCTAATTCCGCGTTCGCGTCACTACCGATGGTCGATTTCAGTCGTATGGGTCAAGTAGGCCTTGCAGGTGCATTTGCGGGTCTCAGTCTATTCAACAATGCTACTACTGTCACATTTGACCCTTCTGTGTCTTCCTTACTCGCTCGCACCGGTGAAGGCGCCTTAACTACGCTTGGCACTACGAATGCAGGCGGCTCAATTCAATCAGGTTGCGCTATCAATGATATCTTCTACTTCGCCGGATCCTTCTCATCTATTGGCAATACATCCGTGTCCGCCAGCAACATCGCGTCATACACGCCTTCTTCTGGCGTATTTGCTGCGCTCGGCTCAAATGGTCCTAACGGTCCAATATACTCGCTTTATTGCGATGTATCCACCAGCCAGCTGTGGGTGGGTGGCCACTTCACGTCACCCGGTTCATCTGTAGCTGTATGGGACACCAAGTCCAACTCTTGGTCCGCACCCCCATTTAAAGGTTTCATAGGTGATGGCGGAGAAGTCTTTTCCATAACTTCCAACGCCTCAGAAAATAGTCTCTTCTTTGCCGGCTCATTTCTCACTTCCTTCGCCGCGAATGCCACTGCACTAAATAACACCAACAATCCTAATATTCCTTATTCTCCTGGGGCCACGCCGTTCTCTTCATCACTTGTCCCCGTTCCTCTTGAAGGCGCGGAAATATTGGGACAACCGTCATCATCTAACGCTCAATTCAGCAACATTTCGAATATCCTGTGTCCTGCTGGTCCGGATGGACCTGGCAACACGTGGTTGGCTGCGAACGGAAATGGCGCTGTAATTACTGTCAATGACTTCTCGTCTATTAGTGCCTACGGTGTTCGCCTTGGCAACACGTTCCAGAGTGGATTTGGCACGACGACTTTCAGGTATGTGTTTTTTGACAGACAGATGAGGATAATTTGTGATCTCATTTTGCGTCCGTCAGTGTCACATCCATTCCAGACAATACAGTACAGACTCTGTCATATGTCAACCCATCAACCGGACAAAACATGACATGCACAACTACCTGTCCTCTGTCGACCGACTCATCAATCTTATACCAGGACTTCATTTTCACCGCTCCGGTGACGTTGACCGGTATACAGATCACTCTGTCGGGTTGGACGGGTGAAGCTCCCGGTTTGCACATGTTACAGCTGCTGTCCTCTGGCGCATTCGCATCTAGCAACGGGAATATGAAATCCTGCTTTTCACCTAATCCATCCAACACCACTAGTACAGGCCAGTGGACCACGAAAGATGCTGTCACCGATATCCCCGCAACACTCCAAACCGTCCTAGTCTCCACAGTAGCTGTTGGTACATCCCCCTCTCAGGCTCCCAGTTTTACCTGGCAGCCGTACGTCTCTGCGTCTGGCCAGTATGACGTATACCTTGTCATTCCGGGTTGTGCAGACTTCCAGGACTGTCCCCTCCGTACATCTGTCCAAGTCACTGTCTTTCCAGGCGGCGGAAGTCAACCCTGGGTTTCCACTGTTTCACAGCAGGTCCAGTCAGATACGACCACACTTGTCTACAGTGGTCCTGTCGTCCCCTCATCCACAGACTTCGTGACCACCGTATCCATGGCGCTTGCGAACAACCCTGAAGGGACTGGTCAGGATGGGCAGTACGAACTCGTCGCCGGTAATGTTGCATTGGTGTTGACGTCGGCCAGCGTGACATCCGCCGCTGGGTCTGGGTCGTCTGGGTCCAACGCGACTAGCAGTTCCCTGCATGGTTTCGGTTTCTTTGAGTGGCCATTGAGTTCCAGTGTAAGCATTGATGCTACCGGAACTATTCCCAACACAAGCGAGACTTCTTTGGACGTGATATCCATTGATCTCTATAACGCCCTGGGAGCTACGACTTCTACCACTACGTCCGTCACAGCTGTTGCACAGCACCCCTCTGGCACTATTTACCTTGGTGGTAATTTCCAGCTTATCTCCGGCTCAACAAGCGGCGTCTCAAACATCGTCGCATTCAAGAGTGGATCGTTCATTTCCCTTCCTGATAATGGTCTGAATGGACCCGTGACCTCCTTCGTGTTGAGCGGCAACGAGCTCTACGTTGGCGGCTCTTTTACAGACACCAACACAGCTTCCACGCAGGGCAAACTCAATGGCGTCGCTATCTACGACATCAGCTCTAATTCGTGGAAGGCCATGGACGCAGGGGTTAATGGTGTGGTCAATAGCCTTGCGCTTGCCAATGGGCAAATCGTGGTTGCAGGCAATTTCACTGAGACCCTTAACTCGTCGGCTGCTGGTGTTCCCGCTGGTGGTTTAGCTACCTGGAATGTTAGCATCGGTTCGTGGGTGAACAGTGGCGGATTTGTAGTGGGCAACATGACGTTCATCGGCAACGGTACTTTACCTGCTTCGGGTCAGGAGCAAACACAGTTCGTCGCGGGTAATGTGCGTACTATGGCAGAGTACGGTTCCAGCGGCCTTGTGATGTTGTCCAGTGGTGGAAGCACAGGCCCGCTGGTGACGCCTATGGGTGTCCAGCTTACTAGCAGCGTTGCGAATGTATCTTCCCCGGCCACCGTAACGAAGCGTCATCCCCACGTCCGTCGCGGACCATCTGCATGGATATCTCATCTCAATATTGGAACCTTGTTTACTCGCCAGAGCGCAACTTCAAGCGCCCTGCCGCCCTCCCCGCCCGCTCCTGCTCCCGCTGTCCTTGCTGGGGCATTCTGGACGAATGTTTCCACTTCCCACCAGGTAGCCATAATTGGAGGCAACTTCTCATTCTCTTCCTCCTCTACGACTTCATCCGCTGTTGCCATCTATGATCCCGTTACGTCTTCAATATCTGCGCTCGCTGGCGCTCAGATCGATGGTGTCGTTCGTGCCGTCTATGTTGATCAGCAGCAACAGCTTTTCGTTGGCGGTGAATTCAACCTCACTGGAACCTCAGCGAGTGGATTGGCTCTTTATGATCTATCTGCTCAACAGTGGGATACGTCATCCATGCAACCATTGCAACCCTCTGCAGGATCTTCGGTCGTCGTTCGCTCGATAACGTCGTCGACGTATAAGTCTGATGCTGTCATTGTCGCTGGTTTGTTCGCGCAGGCTGGTTCTGTGTCTTGCCAAGCAATCTGTCTATTTGACACCACCTTGAATCAATGGAGTCCGCTCGGAAGCGGTATTCAGGGAGATATCTCGTCTGTCTCATATGCAGGAGTAAGTACCATTCTATGGTCTTGGCTGGTAACATGTTATTGACTGGGTTTCGGTAGAACAACCAAGAAACCTTGATTGCTGCTGGATCTATCACATTATCAGGTGGATCGACCACCAATGTCGCACAGTATAATTTTGCGAATTCCACATGGGCCGCCATTGGCAACAGCGCTGAAATTCCAGGACCAGTTACGGCAGTGACGGTCAACAATGGCAACTCTTCCAGCATCTTTGCAGCTGGTCGGTGAGTGGCACGATGTTACTGCTCATAGACACATTATCTGACTTATCTCGGTCTTCAGCACCGATGATGGTTCCTCACCGTTCATGATGTTCTGGGATGGTGTTTCTTGGAGTAGTGTTGGATCTTCGCTTCAGGGCACCACCAACATTTCCCAGCTTGTCATGGTTCCCTTGCTGAACACGCATTCAGCTAACAGCATCATTGAATCTGACCGGATGTTGATGATCTCGGGCGCGCTGTCCGACTCTTCGTTCGGTTCTGCGTCCTCTGTCCTCTTCGATGGCTCCTCATTTATTCCTTATATGGCCACTGTAACTGCTCAGGGAGCGTTGGGTTCAATTTCTTCACTGTTCTATTCACTCGCAAACTTCAGCTTCACTCAACAACGTAAGTGACTTTTATATCTTCTCGAACCATAGCTCATAGATCTTTTACAGAGTTCCTCGCCACTGGTATTGTCATTCTCATCTCCATTGCCATCGCAGCTGGGGTTGTATTCCTGTTGGCACTCATTGGCATTCTCTGGACCCTACTGTCTCGTCGCGATGATAGAGTAGCCAAGTATAATGCCAGCGACGATGACGACGACGATAATTCAGTTCAACACCGACCATCGTCGTTACTAGAGCACATCAACGCGGCTACACGAACAACGATTCTTGGTGCCCCGGGCCCATTAAATATGGTCGGCACTGAGAAGGATGAGGCCGCGAGAAAAGCCACCATTGCAGAGCCTGATCCATCTGGACCAGACGGTAGCAATTACTTGCGAGCTGAAACTCCTTCAGACGCAGTCGTGGGTACGATGGCTGCCGAAGAGGAGTTCACTCGCCCTGCACACGCTCGCTACTCGTTCGATGGTACGGGTGAGGGCGAACTACCTTTGACGGCTGGGCTCGAGGTAGAGGTGTTAGATGATCGAGACACTGCGTAAGAGACAACATTCAGCCTTATGGTCCATATGCTCATATTCTTTCTCAGGTGGTGGTATACGCGAAATCCACAAACAGGCCAGGAGGGCGTGGTGCCCGCGGCTTATCTGTATTGATTGGTTTCCTTCTCGTGTCTTGTCTTCTTGCTATCGGTCGTACATCATTATACCCTACTTAACCAAGATCGACCTTTCGGTCGCTCTTTCAATTCATTGATATTATAGCATTATTTTCTTATGTTTCCGCCTTCTAGAGACGCTTTCATGGGACAAGAAAAGTGGTTTTGGAAATGCCAAAGGAATATCATGCATAGTTTACCATGCACAATGAAACTCTGCGTCTTCACTAAGGATGAGAGTGAGCAACAATATGAAGGTTAGTCAGGTACAAAACACACCTGCAGAAGTGGGTCCCGGAAATGCTTCTGGCTGTTGTGTATGAAACCTACTCGTGTCTTGAAATCTTCCCTACGCTTCTGATCTCTGAACTCTCGTACATGCCTCCCTGCCTCTCTTGCCTCACCACGATTCCTCGCTTTCACAGTCTCCATTCCTTGCCCATGTGCGCCAAACCCACCCTTGCGGGGTACAAGAGCAGAATTCTTGTCTGCGAGCAATCTGCGGACAAGTGCGATCCCGGAATTGCGGTCTTCATTACTCTGGATATGCGTAGGCTGCAGGGATTGTGCGTAATAGCGCTTCATCGACCGATGGCCGATGCGTGCACCTGATGGGAGAACAAGCTCGTACTCGGTATCACCATAGGTGATCTGGTTCTCGGGTATGCTTTCATCAGAATCTGATTCAGAATTAGGAGGCTCTGAAGCGGCCTCATCAACGACCTCTTCGGCATCTCCACTGTCATCGTCGGCGTCCTCCCACTCCTCGTCCTCTGCGCGTGGCTGTTTAGACTTCTTCTTGTGAGTGTCAGCGGGATATGAAGTTGTGAAGTCGTAATAGTCTGACACCTCAAGTCGGTCGTCCTCGGAATCGTAGGCGATCTTGCAATGAGCCTTATCTAGCATGTGTTTCCGCACAGCCTCGAGCGTCCGAAGCTCACGTCCCTTGCCGTTGCAGTAAATGCAGACATTTCCAACTGCAATCTTCTCACCAAGGTATGTGATGAGGCCAGGGAGATCGACGAGATAGTCGGCATCAGGGACGAAAAAGGAATGCGAAGAAGACATGTGCGTTAGATTTTCTGAAAGCGTCGAGGAAGTATGCGTGCAGAAGAGGCAGTGTGCTGGAGAAAGACGTGAGCGGGCAGCAGCTATCCTAGCATCTATGCTTTCGTTGATATCGTCTTCGGTTGCGGTCGCGGGTACACTAAGGGTCGGGTCTTTGGGTATGGGAGATTCGGAGATGACGGGGAGTGTGGATGACGGTGGGGGATCTACGGGGGCGCTAGGAACTTCGTCCGGCTGGGGTACTGGTTGACTTTGCTGTGAGGAAGTCTTGAGCTCGTTCTCTTTGTGCTTCTTGGAATTTATGTGGGATCTATATGCATTTTCTGTTGTGTATGTTTTCCTGTTCGTGTGTCAGAGAGTTTCGATTCAAGAACTATATCGAGATGATGATATCGACGCAAAAGAAAGAAAAAGAAAGTGGTTATTGCGATCAGAAGGAACGTACCCGCACACCTCACAGGTGCTCCCCTTCAGTGAGGACATGATCGCGGTCTCCTGACGCCGCTCGAGCACCTTTTGATTGAATATAGCAGCGCTAACTGGTGGCAGGGATGCGACACGACGCTTCATATTGTACCTATGGTGGTCTGAGCGGTAGTGCGTGCCTGTGTGCCCATGCATTAATTCATCAAGTCAGGAGGGAGTGCCAGGACATACGCTGCTCCTCCGCGGAAAGAAAGGCTATCGAACATGACAAGCAAGTGAACAGGGGTTGCTCGTTAGTTGGATCCATGGATGCTATAGTACTACTTGATGTTTAGTTTCAACAGGTGTCGCCCCCGTCGAAAATTATATTCCGGAGGTGTGTGTCAGTGACTCAGCGTATGATATCAATCAGCAAAGATTATTATTATCGGTAGCACAGCCGCAGCCGATTACTAAGACGTTTTACATGAAGCGCGACGTGAAGCAGTGAACACACCGTCGTTCGTAAGTGCTTTCTCAGGTCGTTGCCTCCCACTCGGGTTTGCAGGAATGGCCCATTCGTTATCTCCAGAATGCACGCCGTTGAAGCACGAATATGATGCCTGCTTCAATACTTGGTTTGAGGGCTACCTCGAACCAGCTATTGCCAACGCCAATACCAAGGGACACTCACAAAGTCAAAGAATTGAGTACTCAAAGCTAAAGAAGGAAGAATACGATCGTAAATGTGGGAGCATCTGGGCGAAATATAAAGATTGCGTGCAGGTAAGCATTAGCTCTTTTCTCTACATTACAGGGAATGATTTCCCGAGCAACATTCATTTCAATTCACTAGATTGTCTGCTCGTTCGATATTTGATTATGATTCCGATACTGATCTCTTGCAATATAGAAAGCTGTCACAGAGAAAGGTCTGGGCGAGCTACTTAGCCAAGCACGGCAAGAGAACCCGCTTCGCGAACCGCCCCCACCAGACGCATCTGGATCATCATGACGTGCCTGCCAGCTTTACATGTTGTAGCGCTGAGTTACATAGTAGAGAAGAAATGAACCTTGGTCACGTTCAGCAATTATGACACTGACATTCACTTGCGTGCTGCGCTAAAGAGCAACATTTCAGTTCATGAAACCGACTAATAGCCTCTAATAGCCTCGCATATCGCGATTCGCACACCCTGTGGCGTTGTCCGAGGGTACGGACATACTTTCAGGGTGCATTTTTTCATCGAACCCACTTTTGGTACGGTCGATGGGTGAAGCAGCCCTGCTGTGAGAAAAGAATGCATGTCCCGAGGCAGAGCTCTAGGCTCTCTGACGATGAGCTGGATAACGTGGAGTTCCGCAATCATCAAGAATCATCAAGGTTTGGTAGTGGGGAACTGTCACTGTCGATAGTTGGGTTGCGAGGGTGATAGGGCATTAAGATTTTCCGCACAAAAATTATTTCATTGCCCTTGATTAGTAGTACGGTACCGTAGAGCTGGTTTCTCGTAAATGCCAGCAGAACATGTAGTTAGCCGCGAAAAGCCTTGTACAGTGCAAAGCAAGCGTGGGACCCAGTGCTGGACCTATGGTCCAACTGCCCATAGATATTATAGATGCGCTCCACGAGCGTAGTCAAGGGTCTGGACAAGGGCGGTCGTATCATCCATCCACCGACAGGGTATCTCCACTGTAAGCATCTGTGCGAGACGGTCTGGGTTATCCACCCCTCCGCCCATCAGCGCGTGTCTCAGTAGCACCAGTGCTGTATTCTCCTTGTCCGCCTCGCCGCCGACCTTGGCACCTCTCCTGTCCATACGCTCGCCGAGCATATGGACCCATTGTGTAAGAATCTCCTCCAAGGTAGAATTCGTATGTTCGTATAGATCTATGAGGCCATCTGAGCACAAGATCAAGAATGATTCAGATGTGTTAGTTGTGGATGGCTGGAGAGCAACGTGTTTAATGTCGGCAAGAGCGGACAGGTAGGGGGGCGATTTGTTATGCGGGAGGAAATGTTCGAGTTTGGAGGAGACGGAGAAGCCGGGGACGCAGTTCATGAAAACTCGTGTGGTGTAGGATACCGGAAGCTTGAAGATGTGGTCACCAATGGCTAGATGGTTGTGTGAATATATATGTTTGTGTTTGATGCGGCTTATGAGAGATGGGGTTGGGGAAAGTACTCGCCTCGTGTGACGGCGATTGCGCCGAGAATTCTGTCGAATTTGATGCATTCAGATTCGTTTGGATGTTCTTTGCGGATACGCGCGACCTCGGCGGGGTTCCTGCCACTGTGGTTTACACTGAGGATCGTTGCATCCCATTTACCATTGGAGTTTTTAGTACCGAGCACTGCGCACAAGATCAACCTGGTATGTTCAATTGTCGCGGAAAGGGCACGTACCAGCCTGACAATCACCGAGGCTGGCTACCCAGAGATTCTCCTTCTTTGGGTCCACGAGCGAAATGAGGGCAGTCGTACCACGCATACAGCGCAGAATCGTGAGATTGTTGGGGTTTGTGGGGCCGTTAATGATGGACTTGATTTGCTCGTCTGTGAGGGCGGCGAGGGTTGCTTCATCGGGGAAGAGGTGTTTGACTCCATTAGTTAGGGTGTCATCAACGGCTTGGATAGAAGACTGCAGAATGGTAGAGACGGCCGAGGGTGCAAGGGGTGCGGTGCCTGCATTGGCCAGAGCTTTGGTGAGAGCTGCGTGGATTAACGAGGGGAGCTCCTGAACGACGTAGTCTACAGCCTCTTCCCCTCCGTGGCCTGTTATAAGTATCAGAGACAGTTATTTTGAATACAATTAGGTTGCACATAGTACCGTCAAACACAGCAGAAAACGACCATCCATCCCAGTCTAGGACGACAAAGCGGTCCTGGGAGCGGTCGTCTGGATCTGGGCTTGGCTGTAGGGAGACACAGCCCGTCATGGTTGTTTTACTATTGTTAACGTGTGCGGAAGCCAGACGTGCAAGCTCGGATGAGATCAAAGGTTCTGGGATAGCACGATAAGTCCAAGGGCCATAGCCGGGGGGGAACCCAAGAAACTCGAGCCACGTAGAACGCTGGGGATAGGATGTATAGGACATGGTCGATGGATGTGAAATGCAGTACTGTAAAGGGGTGTGGTGGTCGCGTCGATTAAGATGCCAGCTATAAGGTATAAGTACTGTTAGCCCCGGATTATGCATGTACTGCCGCCATCACTGATGATCCGGATCAACTTCCAATGTGTACAGCAGAATAACAGTGAGTATTCTCGAATACAACTTTAAGCCGTCTACATGATACACTCCAAAAAGATATGCGCTTATATACATGAACAACAACAGTGAGAATAAATAAAAACTGTTCAAGAATAACAAGTCCAACAATACTTACGCCTTGCCCTAAGGCAGTTTATGGGTGAATACAGCGCTGACCATGAATACCGGACTTACGGATAGTGGCAAACCAAACCGTTCTGCGCGTTTCCTCCTACGCTCTTGTTCCTCAGAATCAACATTTTCGACAGGTGCTGTGCGCTTTCCTCTACCCTTGGTAACGGGAGCGACAGTTCCAAACCGCTCTGTTCGGGCCTTGAGTACGTCGGGATTCTATAGAGCAGATAGTCATAAAAGAGTAGAAGTCGGTAGACGATGGTGCTCACCTCCCCAGCCTTTTTCGGTTGCTTCTGAACGGGTTCAACATACGTCGTACCGAAACGAGCTGCACGAGCTTTGCGTTTATCCTCTTCTGACTGCACGGCAGGTGCGGGTGCGGGTAGAGCGGCAGCGGCTGGTACAGGTGATGGAAGGGGCTTAAGTAAAAGTTAGAGATGATATATTCGGTTCAAAAAACAGGGCCAACCTGTTCAGATGTCTTGGGCGGAGATGCAGGTTCTACTGTAATGGACTCTTCTACCATCCAGTCGATTCTATGGAAAGGGTCAGAGTGGGGACACGTGGGTATGGGACGACGTAATACTCTTCTGGAGGAGCGAGCTGTGTGAAAATTAGGACATGAAGAATGAATTAAAAAGAAAAAAACGCACGAGATCATCATCAGTAGATGGAGGTGGTGCTGGTTTAGAGATCTTTGGTTTAGTACCAGGATGAAGAGTGTGAAAGACGTCTATAGGCAGGAGGGTTTGCTAAAATTTTATTGATGAGGTCCTGCTTTTTTGCATTTCCTGGAGGTATAGAAGCCTTTGAAAGGATTTCTTTTAGTTCTTGAACTTTTAATGCTCTCCTATAATAATGGTATTAGTGAATTGTTAATGAATTTGATGAATATATGAATACAGTTTCGTGTCCATGTTGTTGATTTTGAAGAAGAAGAGTTTACGTAAAGTAACGTGACAGGATGTGGGGGTGTGACCGTTGTGGATTAGTTTGTTAGAGTCAACGCTTGTGCAAGCAGCCAATCAATGGGCGATCCTGTCGATCAGCTGCTCGATTCCGCTTACCATTACGCAGCTAGTCATCCTACTCATCCTTCTTCTCCCTTTTCTCGTCAATCTTCTGATATTTATAATCATCATTTTTATCATCATTCCCGAAACCCTTCCCCAGGTCCTTCTTCACCCGCTCTCACAACTCATCGTAACTCTCCTGCAGACGACTTATTCCTACATCATCACATTGAACAAGATCAAACTTCAACTCCAACAGATGATCACCAAGTAGATGAAGAACCCCTCTATGTAAATGCAAAACAATATTTTCGTATTCTCAAGCGTCGTGTCGCTCGTGCTCGTTTAGACGAAGTACACAGACTATCAAGGCAAAGAAAGGTACCTTCATTCTAGTCTCATACAACAAAAATTTTATCCTATTTTAGCCATATTTACATGAAAGTCGCCACAAACATGCAATGCGTCGTCCCCGCGGTCCCGGTGGCCGCTTCCTCACGGCAGAGGAAATCGCTGCTCAAAAGAACCAGGTCGCCAATGCTCGTGACATTGCAGACGACGACGTAGACGACCAACCTCTCGTTGACAAGGAGGAGAATAACTCTCCTCCCATCGATGACCCTGTCCTACACGTCAACCCTTACGCCCAACCCCCCTTTTCTGCCCAACATCACTTTCAAGATCAGCCAAATACTTCTGTCACAACCAATCCTCCAAAGCTCCCGGCCCCTTCCTCTGGCTCCGTTACCCTCCGTCCCCCATATACCCCCGCCCAAATGCACCATGTTCCCCACCCTCACGCCCACGCCAGGCACCATCATTCTCACATCAACTACTCAGAAGGTCTATATCCTACGGAAGAGGGTCCCTCTGGGACCGCTATGTTATCTTATGGTACTCGCAATCTTGACGCCCGTTGATTCAGAAGCTTTCACCTTTCTCTCTAGTTCTTCGTTCATGTGCTTTGCTTGTTACCTACATAGATGGGCAGTTCTTGTTTTTCGTAAAGTCGATGTGTCGTTTTAGGATATTAATAAATACCAAAGCAAACAAATGAATGGGCGTATCGTTCTACTCTATGTCCATCGCGTCTTCATCACGCTCAAAGCTCGCAGCACCGGCCGTAACAACCTCCTCTACAGATTCCGCTTGTTCATCGACTTGACGAGTAGGGGAAAGCGGCCGCAACGGCCGATACAACACAAGAGCGCCCCCTTCCGTACTGGGCGACGAGATGGGAATGATAGGCTGCGGTGCCGTCTGGTGTTTTCGTAGGCGCCGAAGCAAAGGCATCGATATCGAATAGTGACGAGCCGCCTTGATCTTGCCAGTGTCTGCATAACCAGTCAGACCATCAGCGATAAACTTTAAAATACGCTTACATTCTCCCTCGTCCAAACTCTCCATGTTCACCTCGGGCGCCACCGCTTCAACTTCGTGCGGCGGTTCCTCGACGGAGCTAGGGAGGACGATACTAGAAGGTAGAAATGTCGTAGATTCGGAAGATGAAACAGTGGAATTAATGGGCGTAATCACCACCCCACTCGTTGAGTTGGAGTAGACCGGCACCGACGCGAGCGTGAGGTGGGCAAACCCATGCTCCAGTGTGTTGAACTTGCGTCGTTTGGCACGGCTCGTGGGACTTGGTGACGAGCGCTGATAGGGTGATGCACGGCGCTCGTCATCCGCGTTAGACAGTTTCCGCTTCAGAGGTGGCGGATCGAACCAGGGATGATGAATGGCCTGAGCCCAGGTGGTCATCGTCAGATATGTCTGCTTGATGAATTCAAGACCAAAGTAAATATAATTCCAAGGTTACGTAAGCCGGGAATATCGCCGCGAAGATTCCAGAATTACTTTTTTAGAATCACTCATTAGGGAGTTTGTGCTCTATGTGTGTCGATGCTTAGATGACTTAGGAGGAGAAAGAAGAGGGTAATGAGAGTTGAGTATATCGCAGATGGTTTAGATACAAAGCAGCAAGGTATATGAAAGTTTTGGGTGAAAACCTGCAGGGTTTTCCGGCCCGAAATGTTTGCCCAAACCTGGGTGCAAGAAGTGAGCTGTGAGTCCCAGGGTATTAGGAGTGCAGCGACACGTTCAGCGCAGCTTGTAGACCCAGGAAGGAAGGAGGTGTACTCACTTGAGCTATTCAGTGCACTGGGGGCATTGTGATGTTTGTGAAGGGTTCGAGAACCGGGGAGGCTTGAATGTATGGTGCTATTACTATAGCATATTCATGCAGGTATATAGTGAAGGCGTCATTAGACCACCTACCCATCACTTTGACTACGTTGAAAGGAACTCCACGGAGGAGATACTCTAGGGTACCTCCGATACGAATGCTATGACCTTTGAGGTTGGGTAGGTCCGTGATGGATGAGATCTGTCATATACCATATATCTGGTTACAGATCCGATCCAGATCCGATGAACATATCCGTTGTCCGGTCCACAGATCCGCTTTGATTCTTATTTCATTTCCTGTTCATATAACTCTAATTATCGTTCATCTCCTTTCGGTATTCCTGTACACCGGTATGCCGGTTATCCTTTACTTCCGCTTTGCTTACTGATCCGCTACACTTACGAATCTGCTTTTACTTGTACTTCATTCCCGGTTCATGATTCGTGATCCATCCGACTTACCAATACGCTCCACTTAGACTTTGCTTATACTTTCGTACATAGCCTCGCACCTTTGCTTATTGATCATTCCGTTAGCTGTCATATACCATATATCCGGTTACAGATCCGATGATCTGGATCTCAGATCCGATCCAGATCCGATGAACATATCCATCGTCCGGTCCACAGATCCGCTTTGATTCTTATTTCATCTCCTGTTCATATAACTCTAACTATCGTTCATCTCCTTTTGGTATTCCTGTTACACCGGTATACCGGTTATCCTTTACTTCCGCTTTGCTTACTGATCCGCTATGCTTACTGATCCGCTATGCTTACTGATCCGCTATGCTTACTGATCCGCTACACTTACGAATCCACTTTTACTTACTTTGCTTATACTTTCGTACATAGCCTCACACCTTTGCTTATTGATCATTCCGTTAGCTATCTGTAGTATATAAACCTTTGTATATGCGCTGTAGTAGATCAGTTCGAATATCATCTTAGATTGCACTCATTCCGTCTGGACTCTGAGGTCCCTCCGTTATCCATCCGGACTTGAGTACGCTACTCTTGTCAACTCCGAGACTTAGGATAGATTCCTATAGTCTACATATCCGCCTCTGTCTTCGGACAGTCCTCACCCGTTAGTTTCTAGTCCGGATCCGATCCGGATTGGCCGTTACTCTATATACGCGATACTTTAGCTCTCTGAAATAAGGGGCAAGACTCGGGAAAGGGGCACAGCGCACGAGCTGAGGCCGAAGCCCTTCGGATCCGATACTACTTGAGTACGGTCTTAACATTAGCTATCTGTAGTATATAAACCTTTGTATATGCGCTGTAGTAGATCAGTTCGAATATCATCTTAGATTGCACTCATTCCGTCTGGACTCTAAGTCCCTCCGTTATCCGTCCGGACTTGGGTACGCTACTCTTGTCTACTCCGAGACTTATGTAGGATAGATTCCTATAGTCTACATATCCGCCTCTGTCTTCGGACAGTCCTCACCCGTTAGTTTTCTAGTCCGGATCCGATCCGGATTAGCCGTTACTCTATACGTTCGATATCCGGAAGTCTTAACGGATCCATTGCAATACTTATCCGTTGCGATACAAGACTTATCCGTTACAATACTTATCCGTCTCACTAGACGCGATACTTTAGCTCTCTGAAATAAGGGGCAAGACTCGGGAAAGGGGCACAGCGCACGAGCTGAGGCCGAAGCCCTTCGGATCCGATACTACTTGAGTACGGTCTTAACAGTATATTCGAACTCATACCTTTCCGAGTTACTTAACATCTATCATGCCTCCTACCAAGACACAAACAACTCTGCACGCGGTCGGACTAACCTCCCTCCGTCTGTGATCCGACACCTATAGTCAACACCTTCACCAGTTTCTCTCAGCGCCGTGTTAGCACCCACGGAACCGCTCAAACCATATCCGAACTCCTTAATCGTCGACACCCGGAAACCCCAACGGCACTCCTGCCGTAGGACCTCCGGACGATGATGATCCCGATGATGGTGATGATGATTTCCCTGGTAATCCACCCGATGATAACGGTGGTGATCCGGATGATGATCCGAATGTTGAGGACGATGAAAATGACGGCCTAAACCCACAAGACCGCGTTATGCTTCGACTCTCAGAAGCCATCGATAACCTTGCTCGCAATAATCGTCGCGCGCCCGCATCCGAAGATTCTAGAGTCAAGGTCCGAGAACCGGATACCTTCGACGGATCCGAACCACGGAAGCTCCGTGCGTTCTTTGTCCAGTGTGAGCTTAACTTCCAGAGCAAGCCTAAGGCTTTCCGTACCGGAAGGGCTAAAGTCAACTTCGCCCAATCCTACCTTAAGGGTATGGCCCTTGAATGGTTTGAACCGGATCTCCTGTCCGATGATTCGGACGATCATCCGGATTGGATGGATGACTATTCCGTGTTCATGCTTGAACTCCAAGCCAACTTCGGGCCTCATGACCCATCCGGTGATGCAGAAATGCAGCTCGAACAGCTCCACATGCGCGATGGACAGCGCATCAACAAGTACGTTGTGGATTTCCAGCGTCTTGCTTCACAGGTTCGTGGCTGGGGCGACGGAGCCTTACGACGCCAATTCTACAACGGACTCCCGGCCCGTATCAAGGATGAAATCAGTCGCATGGGTAAACCCTCTACTCTTTCCGAATACAAAGTCCTCGCTCAGACTATCGACGCCCGATACTGGGAACGGAAGGGAGAGATCTCTCGAGAAGCTAAACCCACTTCATCCACTACCCCTAAGCAATCCGCTTCTGACCGGACGAACTCCAATACGTCCGGATCCGGAAATCACAAATCCGGAAACTCCAATGATCAGAAGTCTACAAAGCCATCCGCGTCCTCGAACTCGTCCGCTCCTAAGGTTCCGGATCTTACTTCCAAGCTGGGTAAGGACGGAAAGTTAACGTCCGAAGAGCGGCAGAGAAGGATGGACAAGAAACTCTGCTTATTCTGTGGCGGACCCGGCCATACAGCTCGGGAATGCACCAAGTCTACTTCGCGTGCTGCCAAAGGCCGCGCTGCAGTAGTCGCTCCGGAAGTCAAACCGGATGTCTCTACTGAGACAAAAAAATAGTCCGCGACTCTCCTAGCTCCGTGCAGGAAGAGGGTCGCGTTGACTCTGCCTGCACAAAGGAGTTAAGACTCAACGCTGTCGCGCTCTCGGATCCGACTTCCCTCTGTCCATATGTTTCACTTCCGTTACTTCCATCCGTATCCGAATTTCCAGCTCTTGTAGATTGTGGTTCTTCTCATTGTTTCATAGATACTGCGTTCATCCGAAAACATAAAATCCCTACATATCCGATACCTACGATTCCGCTCCGCTTGTTTGATGGTACTTGTAATAATACTATTTCCGAAGCTATAGATTTGTCCGTCCGCTTTCCGTCCGGTGTAGTCACCTCTGATACGTTCTACGTTACCCCTTTGGATTCATCTTGTTTTATCGTTCTTGGATATAGCTGGCTCACCCGACACAATCCGTTGATTGACTGGGTTTTGGGCAGCATTGAATTCCGGACGACATCTCATGGAATGCCATCGACCCCTCCGACGTCACTTCCGTCCTCGGATATCCCTCCTCCGACGGAAACCATACCTCCTCCGACTACATCCGTACCCTCCGCTGATAACACTGTTCCTAATATATCCCTAATCAATGCAGTTGCCTTTTGCCGGGCCTGCAAGTTAGAAGGATCGGTCCAGTTCAGTATATACCTTCGACCATCCGGTGTCGATCTCCGATCCGCTTCTCTATCGTCCGATCCTCCGGATCTATCCCAAATTCCTTCGGACTATCACGAGTTTGCGGATGTCTTCGACAAGGGAAAGGCTGGTCAGCTTCCTCCACATCGTCCTTATGATCTGAACATAGATCTGGAAGAAGGAACTAGTCCTCCCCTCGGAACTATCTATTCTCTATCCCCGGTCGAGCTTGCAGCCCTCCGGAAGTTTCTTGATGAAAATATTGCCTCTGGACTCCTCCGCTCCTCATCCTCTCCTCACGGAGCTCCGGTCCTATTTGTCAAGAAAAAGGACGGATCCCTCCGCCTTTGTGTGGATTTCCGTGGACTCAACCAGATCACTAAGAAAGACCGATATCCATTACCCCTCATTGCCGACCTATTAGACTCTCCGAGCCGTGCTAAAGTTTATACCAAAATCGACCTCCGATCCGCTTATCATCTCGTCCGGATAGCGGAAGGGGACGAATGGAAGACTGCCTTCCGAACGCGCTATGGCTCCTATGAATGGTTGGTGATGCCGGAAGGTCTCACTAACGCTCCAGCAGCATTCCAGCGCTTTGTCAATAGCGTGTTTGCTGATATGCTGGATGTATGCGTTATCGTATATCTGGACGACATCCTCATCTATTCCCATGACCTTGCGTCCCACAAGCAACACGTCCGAGAAGTACTCCGTCGACTCCGTAAACATCGTCTCTATGCCAAACCCGAAAAATGCGAATTCCATTCCACTTCCGTTGAATATCTCGGATATCTCCTATCTCCGGACGGCTTAACTATGTCGTCCGATAAGATCCAAGCTATTACTGACTGGCCGGAACCTCGGAAAGT